AGGGCTGGCCTCTGGCTTTGAGAGTCACACACTCCTTTCCCAGACCGGGAGCGACTGGACAGGCTGAGGCTGTGGGCCAGGGCGTCTTTGTCCTGGAGGGGCCCTTGGGGACTTGGAGCTGATCATCGTCCCTAACGATGGACAGAGCTGGCCCCGGACTCTGCCGGCTGTAGTTTTCTGTCCTGAACACACTCTTGCATCCTCTTCCGGTTCCCCAGAGGCCCCTGGCTCCAGAGGGCTCTCGGAGCGTTGTCCGTCTGACGCCCTGTCCCCTGCCCACCATGCACGGAGCTGTCCTCTCTGGCCGCTGTGACAGACCCGGGGAGACCCGTGTGGCCTGAGCCGGGAATGGGGGTCTTTGGGAAGTTGGTGCCTGGACATTGCGGGCAGTAGGTTGTCGGCGAAGCTGGCCACAACAACCCCTCCCGTCCCACGTGCCCCTTTGCCATGTGACTTTGGATGCAACCCCTCAAGAGGTGAACTCTCTTCCCTCTCCTCTTGAGTCTGGGCTGGTCCTGGGGCTTGGCTGGGCAAGGAGAAGGCTGCTGTGAGAGTTCCGGGCCTCGGCCCTACCGACAGGCTCTGCAGGTTCTGTCCGCACTCCCCCCTGCCGAGCCCTGCTGCTCTGCAACGGAAAGCAAGCCCACTGGACCCCCGCTCCCAAGACGGAGCCACTTCACGCGGGGAGGGACCGTGAGGATGAGGGGGCCCACCTGTCCAGCTGCGCTAGCCACGCCAGTGAAGCCCCTGGAGTGTGGATGAGGCCATCCAAGGGCGGCCAGCCTGCAGGGGACACCGCCTGACCACAAATGCCTGGTGGCACCCGGAGTCCTCCACGTGGGTCCATGCAGCTGCCCAGTCTGCTCACCCGGAGAACTGTGAGCGGAAGAATGGCCGTTCTTCTAAGCCACTAAATTCCGGGGTGTTTTGTTCCACAGTGACAGATAATTGACACATTGGGAGACTTTTCCTGCAGCGGGGGGCCAACTGAAAACACGCCAGGCCGCTGCTACTGGAGGCTGCCGTGTGGAGAAACTCAAGCAGAGGAAGCCAGGCAGAGGCCAGCAGGACCAAGGGGTGGACGAGAGAGAGAGAGAGAGAGAGAGAGAGAGAGAGAGAGAGAGAGAGAGATGGAAACATGAGTGACGTTTGAGCTCCTGAATCCAGCCAAGATGAGGCTGGGTTCCTTAGTGGACTCCCTAGCTAAGCAAGTAAGAAACTTCCTTTCACATTTTTTTTAAGCTAGTGTGGGTTAGGCTTTTGTTACCTGCAACGCAAAGCATCCTAATGGATGCACACACGTTTGCTGGGTGTGCTCTCTGTCATCAGGTTCCAGCCCAACTGGACTGGCCCGGGGGTGTCTATTAGCTTTAACCTTAGTTCCTCCATCTGTCAAAATCCCCTGGTTTCTGAACAATGTCTTGTTGACAACTAATGTATTCATTTAGCAGCTCTCTGTTTGGTACTCACTGTGAGCAAGGAACCGGGGTAAGTGCTGGGGAGGTAGCAGGCACAGGGACCATCCAGTGTCCTCCCCGCCCTCCAACCCAGGCTGTTTACTTAGGACTACGTCGAATTTGAAGAAGAAAAAGAAATGGACAGGATGAGCATGCACACACCTACCCTACCTACCGTCTTGTCGTGGGAAGCACAGGGGATCGTACGTGTGAAAACACCTAACAAATTTCTAGCAGAAAAATATTTATTTTCACTCATGGGCTAAAACTATAAGCCCCTGTCTGAAGTGTCTGCTGCCGTCACTGAAAATACCTTCTTCCTTTCTGCTTCCAGATCTTACATGGAAGGCCACGTAGTCCACTGGCCAAATGGGGAGCAGTGGGAGGGGGAGCCCGCTCTGAATCCGAGAGGCACGCAGTCAGGGGGCCGGGTCTCCATCCTCACCACCCACCCCTCCCGGGGCGGGGCCCGAGTTCCTTTCTCCTCTGCCCCTCCCACCGCCAAGCTCTGGCTCTTGGCGGAGACGAAGTGCGGTCTCCAAATGCCGCGCTTTAATGAGAGGAAATGGACTTGACTTCCCGTTCAAATTTGCCAGGGGAAGTGATTCTGATAAGGAAAACCACACCCACATCTTAGTGCAAATCACTGCAAAGGTCTGCAACCATGAGCAGCTGGAGAGTGCCTGTCACTCAACGCGGCTCCCGCCCTTGGGGTTCACGACCCCGTTAGGATGCTCTGACCTCCCTGTGTCCCACCATTTACTCACGTAAGAGGCTGTGTCAGAAGAGGGTGTTTTCTGCGCAGACCTGTGTGCAGCCATTGGCAGAAGCCGTGGGGTGGGCTTGGTCTCGGGCATGTTGAAGGAAGGGTGTTGGTCCCCCACTCATGGTTTTTCGCGGTCTAGACCCAAACCACGGACCATCCTCATCTCCTGCCCTTCCCTGCATGTCCCCACCAGCGGTTGGCTGTTCCCTGCATTTGCCGTCCCCAGGTCACTGACCCTTGGCTCTCCGATCCCTCCTCCCCTGCCTCTCACTCGGATGGAATTCGAGTCCCCACCCGAGATGCAGCTCACACGCCACCACCACTCAGGGCATCTGTCCTACTCGTCTCAAAGCCACTGTCACTCTCTCCTCCGGGGCCCCACCCCATCCTCTTCACATCCTTGTTATCATGGCGTCTAGTCGTGTGCTCGATTTCCAGTGGTCACGTACCAGGAACACGGCGTCCTGAGACGAAGCAGTCGTTTTCTCGTCAGCCCTCCGGGTCTGGGAGGGAAGACATTCAAGTAAGAAAAGGTTGCCACAGTGCAGCGACTTACTGCAGCAACAGATCCTCTGTGAGGGTGAACGCCGGCTTCTGCGGGAATCAACTGGAAAACCCAGGCAGTGCCAGAGGCAGGGGCCTCTCCGCCCGGTCTTAATGATGGACGGAAGTTATCCGAGGGATGGGAAGGAGGAAGACTTGTGCGGACTGCCAGGGGTTTGTCTTTCTTCCCAGACGTCTCCCCAGCCTCTCGAAGGGAGACACTGGCTGCATCCCTTTTTGATTCCCCTGCACCTGGGGCAGGTGCACCGTAGGGGCTCAACGCCTGTGTGCAGGATGGACGAGCTAGACTTCACTCCAGAGTGGTCAGTTCTGTTCTCGTTTTGGGTGCAGTCTCTAAGCAGCACTACGTAACTCCGTGAGTGCGAACACGGAAAGGAACCGTGCCCGAACCTGGCAGTTTTAAAGCGACAATGCATCACTTCTTGTGGTTCTGTGAATCGGTTGGGCGGGTCTTCTGTAGCTTCCTCATGGACTCACTCACACAGCTACATTCAGCCGGAGGGTCGCCTGGATTTGGGCTCCGCCTCTTGGTGGGGACGAGCGTTCTCCAGGAGGCTGGGCTGGGTGTCCTGCACGGCGATGATGTCATCATTGGGCTAAGAGGGAAGGCCCTGGAGCAATAGGGCTTATCAAGCTTCTGCTTGTGTCATGTTTTCTGCCGTCTCCGTGGCCAGGACAGTGGCAGGGCTAAGTCTGGTTTCGATGTGATAGGGGAGACACAAGGGCCAGGGGGCGTGGCTCGCCAGGGCCACTGCAGGCTTCAGGCCACACCACGGGTCAGTGGGCGGCAGGTCGTCACGGTGGGAGGGATGGATGCATGGGTGTGGCACATGGGTGAGATACACATCAGAGTCATGGCTCTGGGGGTGGGGGGGCGGGGGGCGGGGCCAACTTCCTGAGGTCCTGTCGAGGAGCGGCAGGGACATTAAACCTGGCTGGACGTAGAGCTGGACGACCAGGGTTTGGCTCAAATGACACGAGTCCAGGAATATCTACTTCCCAGGTTTTCTCCGGCATCAGAGGCAATCATGTGACAGCTCCTTGCACACTCGAAAAGCGGCGAAATGAGCGTTGTCGGGCCGAGAGGCCCGCTCAGCACCACAGACAGCTCCAAGGCCAAGCTGCGGTTCCCAGACACCTGCTGCCTTTCCGCAGGCCCCCGTGCCCCAAGGAAACCACGTGCTGGACGTCTGAAGAGCCGGACCTAGCCCCACGGATTCTCATGTGCCCTGGCTGGTTCCTGTGAGGCTCCGTGTACCCTGAGTTTGGGGCTAGTCACGACTCAGAGAAACCTCAGACAGGAGTAGCTTCGACGAGAGAGAAGTTTCGGCTCTCGTCAACAAAGGCCCTCGCCGGGCAGTGCAGGGCCGTCACCGCGCGTCTGCCATGGGAAGTCCAGACCAGGGTCCTTGCTGCTCGCTGCCCTGCTCCCTTAGGGGGTGGCCCTCAGCTCCGTGGTCTAAGGTGCGCGGCCACCGCGCCTGTCATGGTGTCCACCTTCTTTCATTTGCGCCTCCTTCCAGTGGCAGCCATTGTTTTCCTGGTGTCTGGCATGTACCAGAGAGAGATGAAACCCCGTTGCGATGTGAGATTAGAAAGTCAGCACTCTCGGGGCTTTGAGGAGAGAAAGGAGGAAAAGAGGGTTGTCTCCTTTAAGACAGACGTCTGAGAGGCGGGGCAGCCGAGACGACTGATAGGCTCACGGAGAGTCTGGGTCGGGGCAGGGTTTGAGTCACTGGATACACAGGCGCGCCTGGTGTTTTCGTGCTTGGGAAGGCCACGCTGTTTGCGCCCTGGAGGTGTGTGGCAACCCTGCGTCGGGCGCGTCTGTCGGCAAGTCCGCTGGGGAAGATGCTGTGAAGGTCGTTGACATGACAACGGAGGGTTCAGACTGTTACACGAACTCAGCTGAGCAGGCGGCAGCAGGGACCGAGAGGATGGACCCCGGTTCTGGAAGGGGTTCCACTGCGGGTGAAACGCTGTCCAGTGGCGCCACGCGCTGCAGAGACGTCGTCCGTGAAACGAAGAGCCGGTCGGTGTGTCGAACTTCACGGTCGGCCGAGTAAATCGGCACGGCCGCCCGGGCCCGCCGGCAGCCCTCAGCCCGAGGCAGCACCCTCCGCCAGGGGAGACACTGCGACTCACCGAAGACTCAGGTGAGGGGGAGAGAATTTTAGCAGCAAATACAGGGTCCGGCCCAAATAACTCCCCCCTTTTCATGACAAAACCTTTTATTAGAAAATCATAACCATGTAATTCTGTGACACAACAAATCACGCTCAAGCACACCCTAGACACTTTAGGTGAAATGTTCAAATCAAAACTGTAAGTTATTACACCCGTATCATTACCCTACCCACCACACTCCAGCAGGCCTTGCTTCTGCAGGGCCTTGCACTTTAAATTAAGGGATGTACACAGTTTGCATACGATGCTGTTGCGCACTTAACAGTCTGTAGTGTGGAGTGAAAAGAACTCCTACGTGCACTGGGCAGCCCTAAGAACCTGTGTGACTCGCTTTACGGCGATGCTGGCTTTATCGCCCCGGCCCGGGGCTGAGCCCGCGGGGTCTTGGAGCCGTGCCTGGGTGTGTGTGTGTCTGTCCCTCTGCAGAGCCCCGGCTGACACGCTGTCATCCAGAGGGAGCTCTTAGGGGGGTAGCACGCAGCAAGCCTGCACGTGGCAGATGTCACCGGCCAATCACAGCGCTCTTCCCCACCGCCCCGGGGTTTAGCTTCAGAACCTTTCCTGACGTTGTTCTTTCCCGTCTGAGAAGACTTCAACTGGTAGCGCCTGCCCCACCTAGTAGGAAGGTGCGTCTAACGTGGGCCTCTCCAGGCCGTCCACATGGTGACCGTCCTTGTGTTCTCTGTGACGTCTTGATCCTCTGAGGGGAAGACGGTTCGGGGCTGGGGGTCTGGAGCCCTGTGGGATACAGCCTAACACAGGCTCAGCCTAGAGGGGGGTGGGTTGGTCGCAGGCTCTCCCGAGCCCAAGCCCCACAAGGCCGAGCCAACGATGGGAAACGGGCGTGTTTCAGAACGTGTGAAGAGTCTTCCAACTGAGTTCTGAAGACCCTCACCCAGGACCAACGCCAGCGGCTCGCTGCGGGTCCAGGGTCCAGAGGCAGAGCTGGGACGCGGCCCGCAGTCGGCGGTTTTCAGTCCGCCCAGCCCTGGGTCGGCGGAGCGGGCTGGTCTCCTCTGAGTGGGCGTTCGCGCGCCGGTGCCCCAGGTTCATGCTGCTGCCACGCGCCGACACACGGAGGAGACAGGCCGTGGGCCCGCATGGGACAGTGCGGGGTGACTCCCTCCGGCTTCCAGAAGAGTTTGGGGGAGTCAGCCATGAATAAAGCCCCAAGGGTGGCAAGGTGAGATGAGCAAAGACTAGTTTATTTTTAAATAATTCATAATGTTAAACATGTGGGGGGGAGTCTTTGGTCCTCCGAGGTGCTGAGGCCGTCCACTCAGACGATCCCGTTTTTGGCATACTTGTCCAGCGTGGAGGAGGGGCCCGCGTCAGGCCTTCCGCTGGGCTCGTCGCCCGTGACGGCTGCGTCGACTTTCTCCTCCGGGGCGTGCACCTTGTTCCTTCGGGCAAACGCCTGGGTGATCTCCGCGTGGGTCCTGTTTTTGGTCTCAGGCAGGACGAAATATAAATACAGAGCCCCTGCGGAGCAGATCGCGGCGAAGACCAGGAAACAGTAGGTGCCCAGACCCTTCTGTGGAAAGGCAGAGACAAAAGCCGTCAGACAGATGGCCCCCAACCCGGCCGCGAAACCGTCTCTGAACAGATTGTTTTTTTATCTCGTCCCCCATCCGGAAGCCGAGGTTCCTGGGTAGGACGCCGCACCTGTGCGGCTGGCTGTGCGGGCAAACGAGCCTCCCCATCCCCCCCCCGAGAGGTCTCCCCCGAGGCACGGACAAACCGGCTGGCGGAGATGAGGGACGAGCATCTCCAAAAGCAGGCGTGCAACACTGAATCATCATGAAAGCACAGTGTCATCTACTTAACGTTATCTTACGTTCAGCGAGTTCAGCAAGTCAGATAAGCACGTTATCTTAACTTGCTGTTCACCGCCTTCTTCCTCCCCCCCGCAAAGTTCGAGTGAGAAAAGTGTGACGCCACAAGGAAGGAGCGTTCCTCCGTCCGTAAGAAAAGTACGGAGCACGGACTCAGCCAGGATAACGTCATCGTTTCTTAACACAGAGACGACGCCACCCTCTGGCTGGCCCTCTGGTGCGGCCTTGTGCAAACAGGAGAGGCCGGGAGAAAGAGGAATGTTGAATGCAACCGCTCCACTTCCCGTGTCCGGACTATAACCCCTAAAGCTCGGACCAGCACGGCCCTGCCAGCTGCTCGAGACCTTGAGCTTCCCAGAGGCCCGGCTGCCTGTGCAGCTGCGGTGTGTGCTGCGCGGCACCCGGCCCAGGGAGCTGCTCAGTGAGCCCGGGTTGTACGAAAGACTGTGTGGGTTCCTGGCAGGGTTATGGCTGCTTCATGCACCAAACAGCTGCGGACCCGAAGAGAAGGGGACACCATTTCCAATGATACCTTACAGGAAGCAATATCTTGATTTTAGTCGGTTCCATACTGCTCTTTGATGTGACCTTTCTCTTTGGAACCCGACGCAAGGCTTACGAGCTTGAGGGGCAGACGGCGTCCCGGTTCCACCCGTGACTGGGACGGCCGGCCTCGCGTCGCTGCCAGGACGGGATGGTGTTTCATCTGGGCGGAGGCAGGTGCTGACGCAGCCCCTCCTGGGGGCCAGCGATATTCCAGACGTGACCTCGTCTGATCCCCAAAGCCACTCTGTGGTCGGGCCCCTTTTACGTCCATTTCAGAAGAGGACACTGAGGGTTAGAGACCGCCTGAAACTCGGCCAAGGCTCCGCAGGGGCCAGCGGGAGACGGGACGCGCACTGGGGTCTGCCTTCCCGGGAGCCCACGCCCTCTCTCCTCCGTTATGTCTCTCCGCTCGCTTGCTGCTGGGCATGGGGTGGGGGAGTGAAGGGTTCCCTACAGGGGTCCCCAACAGCAGCTGGGAAGTAGGACGTCTTACCCTTCTCTGAGCAAATGGAGATCAGAACGGGCGAGTGTTTCGCCTGTGGTCGCCCAGCTGGTAAGGTTGCCCCTGGCCTTGAACTTGGCCTGATCTGGAGGCCACTGTCTTGCGTCTGTGCCTCGTGTGCAAATGCATTCAATGCAGTCCTGTGACACAGCCGGCACGGAGCTATGGAGTCCCCGTGTTCCCGTCCCTTCTTTCACGTCTGAGTGTCTCAGGGAGGCCCCGCGGTTCCTGAGGAGCTGCTCAAACACCGCTAAGTCACAGTGGGTGTGGGAGGGCTGCCCTGACGCCTCTTTTCTTCTTTTTCTTGTTTTTTTTTTTAAAAAACACGCAAGTTTTTCATTAAGGTAGAATTGACATTGAGTGACTTGCCCAGATCTTAAGTGCTTCGTTTAATGAACTTGGAGACAAGCACCCCCTGTGTCAGTGACAGCTAGTCAAGATGTGCATCATCTCCAGCGCTCCAGAGAGTTCCTCGTGCCGTTTCCTCCCCTCTGCCGGCACACACGGAGTTAACCGCGGTTCCGGTTTCTGTCCCCTTCGCATCTGTTTTTCCTGCCCCTGCCCTGGATCTGGTTCCCACGGGGCAGCCAGAGAGTGCTTTTAAAAGCACAAAATGAAGCGTGTCTTAAACCCACACAGTGGCTTCCCGGAGTCCCTGGGACAACCCGCAGTCCCTCTGCTGCCCGGGACGCCCTGGGGATTCGGCCGGGCCTCCCTGTTCTCCCTCAGAAATGACACCGTCCCCCCGCCCTGCCCTCGGTCAGCCACACTCCCCCTCCCCGACACACTTACTTCCTTGGTCTCTGCTGGCTTGAAGGGCCCCTGCCCTGCTCAGCCCAGCGAGGCACCCCGTTCGCCCCCTCCCGTGAAACCTCACTACCTCTGTGCCCTGAAGGGTCACGTCTGCTCCTCCCGAAATGTTGGGCCAGGACTGTGCCCCTCCTGCGCGACCCCTGCCACCCAGGCCCGGCACCAGCTGGTGCAGCCACCTGATGCCTGTGAGTGAGGTGTTCTCTCCCCGCCTCCAGTCCCACGGGGTGCCCCCCGAGCCGGCCACAGAGGCCAGAGGGCCGTGTGTTTGCTGTTAGACCCCACTGCCCGGGCCTGCGTCAGCTGTCCCCTCACTTCGCACGGGCATTTGGAACAGGACCCCACAGTTTTCCAGCCGAGAAGAATCCTTCCCCCCCTCCGAGGTTTTATTGCACAGGGATGGAAGTTTCCGGCTCCGGTGGAAACAGGCAGGCGCCACATTTGCATGTAATTTTCTCGGAACCAGAAAACAAGGGTGTGGGTGACAGAGGCCGAGGGGCCTGGCCCTGGGGTCCACAGGCTGTTACAATGGACGGCCCAAGGGACACCCTGACGCTGACCACGGCGCAGGCCCGGGGGGGGAAAGGCGGCCTGGGGCTGAGGGCAGAGGGACAGTGACACGGTCTCCCCCATAGCCCAGGTGGCCCCCTGACCCCTCGTCTGGGATATTTTCCAGGAAAGGGGTCGGGTGGAGGGCAAGAGGGAAGGAGGAGGGGGAAAGTCACCCTTTGGGGGGCGATTTGTCCTGAAGTGCTCAGCCAGTTGGGGACAGCGTCAGCCTCCGGCCCTGAGCGTGAACTCCCTCCTGTCCTGTCTCCTCCTCCCAGCGGACCCTTCCGCCCAGGACAGGAAGCGCCTTTGGGGAGGGATGCTGGCCGAGGCAGCAACCCTCCCCGAGTGTCCGCGGGCAGCCCCGAGCCCAGGCCCTGACGCCCCTCCGATTCTTCAGGGAGCCCTGCTGCCAAGTGTGGGCGACTCTCCTGCTTTCTAGTCGTGGACATCATGGCCCCGAGAGCCGCGGAGGTCAGACCGAGTTGGCCCTGGTGAGCAGCACAGCCAGGGCGCGAGGGCAGGCTGTCTGACCCCAGCGTCTGTGCGGTGTGACAGTCTGTCGTTTGGGTGGGACACAGAACCTGGCGAATAAGGACGGTCAGAGCGGCACACGGGCCGGGGGGCTGCCGTTCCCCAAGAGGCTCTGTCCCCGCGTGGGGCGGTGGGCCAGGGCCCCCACCCCCGCAGCTGGGGCCCCCAACAGAGCCCGACAGGTGGGCAGTGGGGGGCCAGTAGCTCCTTTGGAAGGGACCTCCGGAGGGCTGGGAAGGGAGGGACGGGGTGGCCAACTGTCCCCACATCTGGACACAGCACAGCTGAGTGCCTTAGAGGCTCCGGCCGCCTTGCTCCGGGGGCAGGAATGGAAGGAAGTTCGCGCTTGCGGACCCGCCGCCTTGGCCCTCACGGGGGAGGGCGCTCTAAGGATCGGATTTGCGATGATGGGCCTGCCTGTCCTCCAGGAGCCCCCAGACCCGTTTCCAGAGGATTCCACAGGAAGGCCGGGGGACCGCCTGGCAGAGACGCAGACAGGGCACCCACACACCCACAGGGGGCTCCTTCCTGAACTGAGACCAGCCCTGCTCTCCGTTCCTCCTCCTCACGACCCCTGGTTCTCACAAAGACCCCGCCCCCTTGCTCCCACGGCCCTGCCACCGGACCCAGCGCGCTCCTGCGGAGGGGGCTCTGCGGCTGCCTTTCCTCCCTGGCTCCTCCTGACCATCCGGCCGTAGCTGGGTGAGCACCCTGCCCAAAGCGAGCCAGTGGGGATGGAAGCGATCCTCCTCGCGACGCGCTGTTACGCAGTGCGTGACTGTACGGGAAATGCATCTAGCACAGTGGCGAACACGTAACAAAAATGATGAGTAGGTTGCAGGTTGGAGATCCTACCCAGGTTTCCTCGCACACCTGCAGCGACGGGAAGCTCCCTCCCTCTGAAGCAGCCCCTCGTGTTTAGGGGTAGCTCCCGGAGGGCGCGGGAGGGAGAAAGAAGGTTGAGGGTTTTCGCCAAAGCCCTCGTCTCCCGTCCTTGGGCTCGCGTTTCCAGTGGAGAGAGGATCGGCCTCCGTTCCGCGAGTCGCCGCTCATTCGGAGGGCCGCCGAATCGGAGGGGACCCCGCGGGCGAGGGGCCCCGGGCCGTCGGGCCGTCGTACCTGGATGAACGGGAAGAGCAGCCCCACGGCGAAGTTGGAGAGCCAGTTGACGGTGCCCGCCACGATGAAGGCCGCCGGCCGCTGCGCCTGCTGGAAGAGCTCGCCCGTCAGGATGAAGGGGATGCCGCCTGCAGGCAGAGCCGGGGTTGCAATTAGTCACTGTGAGGGGGAGGCCACGAGGGGGAGGCCACGCACGGCCACCCACCTCCCTGCAGCGGGGGGTGGGGGTGGGGTGCCCTCTTGGCAAGAGCCACTCTGCCTGGGTGAGCAATGGCTTCCGGGGCGGGGGCGGTGGCGGGAGTTACAGCCCAGACTCCCGAAGGCGTCAGAACCGTTTGCGGCCCCGGGGTCATCCAAACGAGAGGCGCGCCGTGCCCTTGGCTCCCCTCACGCCCTCTGACCCACGCCGGGACCGCTGAGCACCCTGTGCGCCGCCGGTCTGATGTACCGGGCCACCGACGACCTCTCCTGAATGCGCTGATTAGGGGTGCGTACAGTGTTGTCTCTGGATTAACTGGGTCGGGGCGGAACGGGCTACCTGACTCCCGGGTGAAGATCTGGGAAGCCCACAGGGGTGATGCCTCTCACCCGCGGTCCCCCAGCTCCTGGGGGGCAGAGCCAGGATGCAGGCTCGGGACTCCAGCTTCCCAACCTCGGCTTTTCCCGCCACCCCTTCCCTGCGAGTGTGGGGGCCCCCCCACCACGCTAGCCCAGCTTGGCCTTCCGTATCGCCCACGACTGGACGAGTGGTGGCCTGCTGAGTCACCTGGCAGGGGAGGTGCGAGTGAAAATACCATTATCACTGGGGCGGGACCAGTCTTTATTTTGAGAGGCTGCCCAGCGCCAGCAGAACTGGGTGTTTACCACGGCTTCTGGATGCCAGCACCACCCCCAGTCACCGTGGCGACCCAAGCTGCCTCTCTGAGTGTCTACAGGCCCTCAGGCGCCGTGCTGTGCTCGGTGTCTCGGAGCTCTGGCACCCGCCCCTCCCCGCCTTCCCCTCAGAGACTCAGGGGTGGGCCCAGGGCCCAGGGTCCCGCTTGCACCACACCCCCACTCGGCCGGAGCCCCCACTCTGCCCCCACTCAGGCCCACACAGCAGCACCCACAGGAGACGGGGAGGTGAGGGAGGGGAACCCCAGGGGCCCTTCACCAGCCCCAGATCGGAAGCCACTGGCCTGAGTCACTGGTTCTACCGACACTCAATGACTACTGACTGCGCTGGGCTGGTCCCACGGGGGTGACAGTGCCTGAGAGTGACAGTGTCCCTGCCCTCCTGGGACTCCCCGCTCTGACGGGAAAGGCTGACTTGTTCATGGAGAAGGAAGTGAGTGGGCGGATCAGTGATGACACCCTGTGGTAGGTACTCCACTCAGGACAGTGGGTGCCTGTGGGGGCAGCGGGCAGCGGGCAGGGAGGGCCCTCGGGAGGGGCTGGGGGAGACGTGGCTTTGGGGAGCAGATGCAGCTTGTGACGCTGTGGGGGTGTCTTGCCAGGTGACGGCGGGGGGGTGGGGTGGGGTGGGAGGGCAGAGGCCTGGAGCCTGAGCGGGATTGGGTCAAGGGCAGCCTGCCTGTGAAGGGAGAGAGGACCTGGGAGGAGTGGAGAGGGGTTGCCATTGGAGAAAAGGAAGGAGGGGCTTTAGCCCTGGCTGGCGTAGCTCAGTGGATTGAGCATGGGCTGCGAACCAAAGCAACGCAGGTTCGATTCCCAGCCAGGGCACATGCCTGGGTTGCAGGCCATGACCCCCAGCAACCACACATTGATGTTTCTCTCTGTCTCTCTTTCTCCCTCCCTTCCCTCTCTAAAACTAAATAAATAAAATCTTTAAATAAAGAGCAAAATTAATTTAAAAAAAAGAAAAGAAAAGCAAGGAGGGGTTTCAGGCAGCAGTGGCGGACGCTGTTGGGTGGTACGGGGGTGGGGGGGCCGCAGCTGTTCATGGGCTGCGGGCATGGAAGCGAGGAACGGATTCGGAGACCCTCCACTCCACGGAGGCAGTGCTCTCAGTGCGAGCATGGCGCTCGGCCACACTCATGCTCAAGGTCAACCACCGAGGTCACAGAGCCAGCGCCCCTTCCAGCCTGGGCCGCTCCTGAGCTCTTGCTATTATAGCCCCACCCCGCCGCCGCCACGAGATGGGGACCCCTGCTCCCCAAAACCGACGGAGGGGGACACACCAGCCCTCGCCCCCCCAGAACGGGCCGGCAGGGAGGAGCATGGACGCGGTGGACACTTCTGATTTGAACCAGACTCTCCACATCTGATTTTGAGGAGACCGGATGCGCTGCTCCCTGCAAAGGAAGAGGACTCCCCGCACCTTTAGGAAACCTGTCAAAACGCACAAGAGCGGCGGCTGCACACGGAAGCGGCTGCACACGGAAGCGTGCTAACGCCGGCCTCCAGGCCACACGGGCGCACACTGCCGCCTCGACGACAGACGGGCGGGCACCACGCGCGCAGCCGCTCCTGCGGCCAACCCGCCGGGAGCCTCCCCGCTCACGGGATGCCCGCGCACTTGGGACCCGCGTGCCTGTGGCTGGCTGTGCGCCCCTGGCGGGGGGGGGGGGCGCCTTCTCTCTCTTTTCTCTCTGTGCCTCGGTTTCCCCACGGACACGACTCACACAGGCTTTGGCGAGAGTCACGGGACTGGACGTGTGACACGAAGCGGACCCTCGGTAAAAGAGGTGAGGAGCGAGGAGGGCGGGGGTGGGGGGAAGGGAGAGGCAGGGCGAGACCCGCCCCCCGGGTCACCCAGGAGGACATGGAGCCCCCGCGGGTCTGAGCCTTGAGCTCGCGCTTGTTTCGAAACACCGAGGAGTGGCCGTGGCTCTCGACCTGAGGTGGTGCTGTCGCCAGGGGACATCTGGCCACGTGTGGTGGCCGTTTTGGTTGTCACGATCAAAGGAGTTGCTACCGGCCGCTCCTGGGGAGAGGGGCCTGGGATGCCGCTGGATACCACATGGACGCGCAGGGTTATCGGGCCCCAAACACCAGCGGTGCTAGAACTTTCTCCAGCCAGGCACATCACACGTTGAAGTCTGCCTTGGTGAGGAGAGCAGGAAGGGAGCTAACATTCGCCACGCACCTCCTGTGCCGGGCACGGCGCGTCGCCATAAACAGCCCTTTCTGCGTGGCCGGGTGGAGGCTGTCGGTCTCTGTTAGCGTGAGTGACCTTCCAAGGGTGTCACAAGGAGCGGGCGTGGTGGCCTGACGTGACCCCACGCCCAAGCCTCTCCCTGGTGCCACATGGCAGGCAGGGGTGCGTTTCCCGCTCTCCTCACTGACAGCAGAAGCGGGCATCGGGGAGCCACACGGCCTGTGCAGATCCGCCAGGTGGCGGGTGAGCCGGCCCCAGGCCCCGCAGGAGCCCCGCTGGTGTGCAGGGCTCCGGCCCAGCGCCCGGGCTGTGGCAGGCAGAGCGCGTCCCAGCACGTGGCTCCGGCGTGAAGATGCAGCCAGGGCCACGAGGCCCCATGGGCCGAGTGCCTCGCCTGGGGCCCATCTGCCTCCAGCCAGCGACTTCAGAGAAGTGGGGGGAGGGAGGGGGGACAGGAGCACAGGGGGCGGGGGCGGGCCCCAGCCCTCGCTCTGACTCTAACTGCAGTATGTGGGGGGCCAATTCCTTACTCTCTGAGCCCCAGTTTCCTTATCTGTGAAATGGGCGCACTGACCCAACAGGGCGTCGGACGGATGGACCAGTGGCTGCTCATCACTGTCGCATCAGCGCTACTCCCGCTGTCACCGTTTTTGTTGGAGGACTCCCCTCCCAGCAGGTCTCTGAGGATGTGGCGGGGGGCGGGGAGGGGGCGCACTGCCTCCGCTCTGTTAGCCGCACGGCGGCCAACACGACCGTTTGAAACAGAAATCAGGCTGGGTCGGCCCTCTGATTCAACCCTTGGGCGGTCTCCACCGCCCCGGGAGTCCGACAGCTAAACTGCCCCGCTACGGGGGCTCGCTCCCTCCCGCTCTCTGGCTCCAGCTCCCGCCAGCCATGCGGCTCGTCCTAGAACTGCCCCGGCCGGCCAGCCTCTCGCTCCAGGGGGTTGCGGAGCTCTTGAAACACAGCTAGTGTGAGCCGAGACTTGCTTGGGGGTACAAACTATGGGCCGGTTCCCAAGACTAACCATAGAAAGAAAGACTTCTGAGTACCCACGCACACATCTTACATAATGATTACATGCAAAAGTGGGCATGTTCGGGATACACAGTTCTCAGCACAATCTACTATTAAAAGTAGTTTCACTTGTTTCTTTTTTATTTTTTGACTGGGGCTAAAATTCCATCTGTGCCTTGGGGTGTGTTTCTGGTGGGCAGCCCGTGGGGCCAGGCCAGGCAGGTTGTTGCCTCAGGCAGCCCTCCGCCCTCTCCCCCCAGCCCGGGGCAGATGGTGGGGGGGTGGTCCCCTTAGGTGTCTGTCTGCAGGGCTCAGAGCCCGACCTGCCTTGGCCTAGAGCTCCACTCAGCTCCACCCGCCCTGGGAGGCCTTTCCCTACGATGCACCCCCTACCGTTCTGTCTTGTCCAGTCCGGGTGGCCCCAGTGCAGCCACGGGGGCCTTATGAAAGGGGGCAGGAGCCGAGGGGAGAGGAGACGCTGCCGGCTGGCTGTGAGGACTGAGGCGGCAGCCTCTGCAGGGGAAAGGCAAGGAAACCCATCGCCCTGGAGCCCGCGGGGCCCGGGCGAGCCGCACCACGGATCTCGGCCCGTGGACGTGATCACAGCCTTCTGGGTTGAGGGCAGGTCTGCCGGAGAGCACGTGTCTGTGGTCCTGAGTCACCAGGTTCACCGTCCCTTGCAACAGCAGAGGTGGGGAAGCCACACAGCCCCACCCACCTCACTGGGCCCTCCCACTCACAACTGCGTCCCATCCACTCCTCAAGATCCGGGGTCTGTGCTCCTTCTCGCCCTCCCTGCCCGCCCCAGCAGAGGTGACCGTCTCTGGCCTTGAACCCTCATCGCGTCTGGTCGGCACTGACATTGCTAGCTCGGAGGGGCGGGGAGCAGGGTGCTAAAACAGAAGCTGCATTTGGTCTCTGAGCCCAGAATCAAGGAATTCCAGGTCGCCCAGTTGCAGGTCGCCTGAGGACAGCCAGCAAGGGTGATTGTCACAGCTCTCCAGCCCTCTCCCCAGGAGAGGGGGGCGCTGCTCCACTCACCCGTGGACAGAAGGGCCACATACTAACCCCGACAAGCTCGGGGGAGGCCTGCATGGTGGCTTTGCAGACCCAGAGGCCAGAGTAACCGCCGAGGGTGGTCCGAGGTTAACACTTCCTAACTAAAGGCAGGTCGGTCGTGGCGGGTAGTCGTGGCCTGGGCCACATTTCCCCCTAACAAAGGTCAATCTTTATGTCTTGATGGAGTCAGTCTGTTGCCTATTTTTGCATCTGGGATAACATACCTGGTACCGGGGCTTTTGAATATCAAAGTAACTTCCTTTTCCCCTGACCCCTCGCTGCACCTGAGCAGAGACCACACCCCCCCTCGTGGTTACTGGTATTGACTGAACTGTTAACTGTTAACTAACCTGTGCCCGCCTGTGGAACAGAAGCGGTACCTATTCCCTTTCCTTTCGGTCCAGTCCCAGACGTCTCCCCGCTCTGCTTTCCCCCGCCTCCCTAATCAGTCACGTCCACATCTCACGGAACCCCCTCACGTCCTCCCTTTCGACTCTGAAGTGTGTCAAACAAACGGTAAAATGGCCACCTTCCGGGGCATTTTCTCAGTCTGTTGAGAGTTTGCTTCCTGGCCTGGTTTGGCTCAAATAAACTCGTAAAACTCCCTGTGGGTTTGCATGTTCCTTATGCCGCCACACCCCATCCCATAATCCCCGGGGCGTGCGAATGTCACTTCAGGTGGTGAAAGATGTGACTGAGTTCAGAAACGTGAGAGGAGGCGCTTCTCCTGGGTCACCAGCCCTGAGCCCATGTGACCCATAATGATAACAGGCAGAGGGACTCGGGGACACAGGCGCGAGGGGAGGGTGATTTGAGGACAGGGACGCAGAGCGGCGTGACGGAGCTGTGGGTCACGGAACGCCTCGGCCTCCAGGACAGAGGCAGGGACAGCGGCTCCCCAGGGCCTCCGGGCCGGCGTGGCCCTGCCCACACCCGGGTGTTGACCTTCGGGCTCCGGAAGGGTGAGAGAGTGCATTGCATTTCTGTCCCTTGAAGCCCCCGGTCTGTGGGGCTTGGGCGGAGCAGCCACAGGACGCTGCCACGCTCAGACACCCGCTGTCGCTGTCTCAGTGGCTGCGCGGAGCAGCTTACAGCACACATGCCTCTGCCCGGTTCCCGGGACGGCCCTGGGCGCAGCCGTGAGGGGGCAGCGGCTGGCGGGTGGACACCACAGGAGGGCCCTAGGGGCCTGCCAGCCGGTGGCCCCGGGCCCCAGGGGCTGCCGAGGCAGAGAGGTTCACACCTCCTCGTGTTTTTGCTGAAGACCCGGCTCCATACAGACACCTTTCCCCCCGTCTGTGCGTCACTGGGATTGCTTCTGAGGGATGGTCCTCCCCGGAGAGGATTTGCACCAAGTTGTGCAGAACACTGCTATATTTTTACATTTCTGCTTCAGGAGATAAGCTCACACTAATTAGCTCTGCCTCCGGCTGTGGGAAAGAGATAAGAAGGGAAAACAGCACAACCAGGGGGAGAACGGCAGGAAAGAACTGGGTAGACGTGGGCCCCAGTCCTGCCTGGGCCACCTGCGTGCCCTGTGACAGGGGCAGGGTGGGCACCCTGGTGCCCAGGTCCTAATGGGGAGGGGACAGGCCCTCTCCTCTGAGGATGGTGTCGGGCTCTGGCGCGTGGGCAAGTACCCAGCGCTGAACGGGCGCTCAGCGTATGGAAGACGATCGTCGACTTTTACATTTCCCTGGGTCTTCCTGAGTGAGCAGACTGTGCACCATAAGCTCCGTGGGCAGCCTGCCACCCATCTGTTCGGCACAGAGCGTTAGATGGTGCGAAGCTCTCGCTCCCAACGCCTCTGGCCCTGCGTCTCCAGCTGTCTGGGGGCGGGACATTGTTTCTGCTAGCTTCACGGCTGCGTGAGGTCCTGAGGCTGCTGCTCACCAATGGCCGTGAACTGGTCTCTCACAGTCCCGGGGCCAGAAGCCCGGGCTCAAGGTGTCAGCAGGGCTGGCTTCCTCTGGAGGCCGCAGGGAGGAAAGGTCCTGTGTCTCCGTGCTGGCTGCTGCTGTGGCCAGACATCCCTGGGGCTCCTTGGGCGGGAGCCATGCCTCCCCAGCCTCGGCCTGGGCGTGTGTGCCTTCCTCTCCGCGGGTCTGTGTGTCCTCCCCTCATCGTAGAAGGACTCCAGTCGCTGGATTTAGGATTGAGATTTTTGACGAATTATATCTGAAAAGACCTTGTTTCTAAACCAGGTCCCATTGTCAGGCTCCCGGCGGACATGGGTCTCAGGGGGGCACAGTTCACGCCCGACAGTAGCTAGGCACATGAATGTTGCCATCCCGCTGACTGCAGGGCCATCTGCCCCGTGTGACCTGCCGGGGCCGCAGCCCCTCCTGTGCAAACTGGGCACATGCCGGTCGGCCTCGAGGGGCCGGTGCAAGGCCTCAGTGAGTCGGCTGGAGCGAGACCCCAGCACAGAGCCTGAGCTGCCAGCCAGACACTCCACTGCCCCCTCTGTCACCGCTGCCATCACCCTGTGCCTTCTAGTCCTGCCCTGAGGGAGTGCGCCGGGAGAGTGAGTGGCCAGGGCTCAGTGTGGCCAGCTCACCTGGGCACAGGTGTCTGGCAGCCTGGGAGTTAGCCAGAGAACTCCCACCTTGCGCGCAGGTACGAGTTAAGACGGCAGGTCCTAGGACAGGATGGTACAGCCAAATCCTTGCCTCTTGGCTATGTGACTTGGAGAAAATGACTTGATCTGTTGGCTTGTTTTTCTCATCTATAAAATGGGACTCAAACTAGTTTGGAAAGTAAAGTTGCAGCAGCTGAACTGCAGGTAACTCATCCCTTATCACCCGGGAGAGAGAAGGAGGGAAAAAGGAGAAAACCGGTGCGGCCCACCCACCGTGCCGGTAAACTCGCCGGTCCCCCTCACGTTACAGCGGTGTGACCAGCAGGGACGTCGGGGTCCTCCCGTGTAAGATGGGTCACCAGGCTTCACCGGGCCCGTTGCTGAGGTTGGGATGGCAGCCTTGGGCATGCCCACGGACACCTGTCACTGTCAGCTATGCGATGACCCCAGGAGAAAGTGCCTCAAACACTTCCTGTGCTTCAGTGACGCCCCGCAAGGGGTCTCTTAGGGACCTCGCACGTCCGTCCTCCGGGCGGGGCCAGCGCGGGCGCCCTGACGTGGCGGTGGGCAGGGGTGGGGGGCTGGGGAGATGGCAGGTGGCTCGCCTGCGGCTGCCGTCGCTGGTGCCCTGCACGTTATTGGCCATGTTGGGTTCTCGGACAGAGCTCTGACTGTTGTGATTCCATGTTGACAGCATGACTCCGTGGTGGCTGATATTCAGACAGGCCTCCCCGGCAGCTGGCTTCTCGGGCGAGACGTCCACGCCCGTCTTTGAGCCCCGGGACGGCAGACACTGCCTGTCTCCTGCTCCCCAGGGTTTCCAGGCTGCGCCCTGGGGACCCCCCGCTGGTCACCCACCTCCTGGGGCACCCAGGCCAAGGCTGCCCGTGGAGTGGGGCAGGGGGCGGCCCTGTGGGGCTACACACACTCCCTCCTTGACCTGCGCGCGACGTGTGCCCCCCGCTCGGCCTCCGGCCTCCCCCCTCCTCCGGCCGTCCGACCGTCCTCGTCACCACAGCACCGTGGGTGTGCGTGCCCGCAGGTGTGTGTCCCTGGTGCCCTCCCCGGTCACGCCACGGCCCATTCTGCCATTTCATCGGAACTTCCCGGTGTCCCGCGTGGGCAGGGATGCGTTTCACCCACCGAGAACACGGTGGGCCGTGGGGCCTGGTGGAGAACTGACCATGCCAAGGCAGAAGCAGGAGGTCAGCACTACCTGTTCTGCTGGAAACCTGGTGCCTGGTGCGGTTGGCACTGCAACCAGGAAACCGAGATGGGGAGGAGGCTCGGCAGCGCCCCCTGGAGGAGGGGAGAGCTCTGTGCCCACTCCAGAGCCGCCCTGAGCCGCTTCTCAGTCCCGCCGGGTCAGGGGGTGCGGCTGGGGAGAAGACACGGACACGGGGCCGGGAACGGCGGGGCTCTCAGGCTCACCCACCTCGGCCACGTTACAGATGGGGAAACTGAGGCCCACGGAGAGGAGAGGGCTTTCCCACTAGGGCCATGACAGAGCTGGGGCTGGAAGTAAGTCCTGGGTGAACAGCTTAGCACATTCCAGCCTGCACGTCTGCACAGGAAGGGCAAGGGGGTGGCCAGGGGCCGGTGACAGGCCCTCCGTCTCGGCCGGCTCCGTGTACGGCCCCTCCCATCTCCACCCCCTCTGGAGCTGCCTTGAGCCCCGCGCGGCACACGGTGACCGATACGTCTCAGCCATCACCACCGTCATCATCGTCGCCGCTCTGTCTCCCACACCGCACCGTACCTCGTCTGTGGGTGGGCACAGCTGCAGCCTGCGTCCCTTCAGTCCATCCCAAACTAGCGTGTGCGGCTCATGGCCCCCCCACCGCAAACTGCTGCCGTACCTTATCATCAACCCACCTCTGGGGAGCACGTGACCCGCCATCCGTGGGAGGGAGGTCAAGATGGTCACTGAATCAATGCCCAGGGAATGCTCTTGTCCCCCTCCATTCCCAGTCAGGCCTCCCCTCCCTGGGCCCCGGGCTTCCGTCTGTACAGGGGAACCCCCACCCCCCTGACGAGGTGGCGCCGTGAGCCCCGGGCCAGCCGGTGCAGAGGGCGAGGGGCGCCTCACCTGGGCCACTGCAGAAGGAGGCAATGATGGCCAGGATGCAGAAGATGCTCAGGTAGGGGATCCAGGAAGCCCGGTCCTGCGAGAGAGCAGCAGCGGGCAGGTGAGGGGGCAGGTGCGTTCCTCGAGGACCTGGGTTCCCACCCCAGCGCCTCCTCCGTCCATCTGCGTGACCTTGGGCAGGTCCCTTTGCATCTGACCCCAGTTTCGGTGTCCAGAAAAGGGGGATAACGATGACCCCTGAGCCATTCCAGCCGCCCGTGTTACAGACGGGAGGAGCAGAGGAGCTGAGTGACTTGCCCAACGATTCGTGGTGAGCCAGTCAGTGGGGGAGCCGGGGACTCACACCCAGGCGGTCTGGCCCGAGAACCCCTGCTGGTCCCCACCAGCCAATGCTGTGACAGTCGTGCAAGGGCCTCGTACGGCAGTGCCAGGCATCTTAAGAGTCACCTCTTTCAACAAAACAAACAAACAAGAAAATGTAGCCAAAGACACTGACATAGAGAACAGGCTGACAGTGACCAGAGGGGAGAGGGGAGGGAATTTCAGGGGAGAATGGGAAAGGTTTACAAGAACAAGTATAAAGGACACGTGGACAGAAACTGGGGGGTGGGGGGGGATGGAAATGGGAGGGAGGTGGGGAGAGATGGGTAGGTGGGCTAGGATGGGAGTAAAGGACAGAAAACTGTACTTGAACAATGATTTAAAAATATGGATGCAAAAAAAAAGAGAGAGTCACCTCTTTTATTCTATAGATGAGCAAACAGAGGCTCAGAGAGGGGTGTGTCTTGCCCGGGATCACACAGTTCACCGGGCCTCTGGTCTCCCCGTCCGAGGACCCATCACAGAACCCTCCCCCCACAGCGGCAGGGCTGAGAGGCCCCGGGGGACCCTTGGTGCCAGAGGCGTCCGCAGACCACGCTGACTTCCCAAGCCAAAGCCCCGGGGCACCGAAGCCACAAGCCAGCTTCCCGCTGACCCCCCGCCCCGGGGTGCACCAGGCACCCAGTCTCACCTGCAGCGTCAGCGTGGCCGTGAGGATCCCGAAGAAGAGGGTCATCAGCCCAAAGCCGCCGATGAGGAGAGGTCTCCGCCCCAGGCGCTCGATGACCAAGCCCTGGGTCAGGGTCAGAGAGAGGCAGTTACTACTGCACGTCCAGCAGCAGGGGGAGGGGACGGGGAGCCAGGCCGGGGTCCTGGCTGAAGGAAGGGTGGCGTTGACCTGAGACAGGCCACTGAGGCAGCGGTCTCTACCTTATGAGGAAGGAAGAAGGAAGAAAGTTGCAGTTCTTGAGCACCTGTGCGATCTTACATTCATCTCCCCCCACCCCACCAATCTCCTGTCAGGGGGCGGGGCTTATCTGCGGGGGCGGGGGTCTGGGAGAGGGGCCGGAGGGACAGGGTTGCCCCAGCCCTTGCCACGCTGCCCTGGAGCCCCGCTGCTCCGGAGGCCACACACGCTCTGTACCGCTCTGTGCCCCACGCTGTGGATTTCAGACGGCACACTCCCTAGGTGGGGGCACAGGGGTGGGAGTGGGCAGGGAAATTTCCCTCGTTTCCCGCTCTGCCTGTGCCTGGGGCGACCCGTTTCATTCTGGGGTGTGACACCAGGAAGCCCGGGGGACAGTGGCCCCTGAGGCGGTGCCCCCAGCCCAGCTTCCTGCCGCTGTAGGACTGCCCCTGACCCCCATTCGCTGGACCTGTGTCTGCCTTTCCGGTGGGCCGGTGCGGGGCTGGCTCCTCCCTGAGCTCCTTCCAACGCCAAGGACCCCGGAGGACAGTGGTTGTAGTCAAGTTTCAGAGACGGGCTGGCCTGGGCCTTCTATGCCAGGTCTTCCGCTCTGCAGACGGGTGCATGTTGGCCTGGGCCTCCCCTCCCCAGAGCCCCATGGGGCCCGCTAGTGAAAGGAGGACCGAGTACCCTCCAGCCAGGCTGTCTGGGGGGCGGGGGCTGTGTGGGTCTGGGGGGGCTGCACGGGTGGGTGAGAGATGACATCCAACACACACGCTGGGTTCTGTCAGCTGCTCCCCATCCTCGCCCCTCCCCCTCCCCTTCACAGAAGGAGAGCACTGGAGATAGTTTATAGTGGCGGACTCAGGCTGGGGTTATTATTTCACGTGGTTATTATTTCACCTGTCGTTTGCCAGCCTTTTCCAAGTTTCCTACAACGAGACGTTTTACCTCACAAAATAAAGACTCAAAGAGCGACATAGCTCAAGCATGGAGACGCAGATATCTGTGCCCCCAAAATTACAAATCTTGACTCTTCCGCCACGTCCAGGGATTTCCAATACCCCCGCACCGACACATTTTCATCACCGTGTAGGGTGTGTTTTTGCTTTAATCTAAGGAGTCAGAGCCGTTCTGACGGTTAACAGGGCGGAGCCACTTAGTCACCCCTGCAAAGCCTCTTTTTCCGTCTTAGGTGACACAGACATAGCTTCCGGCAATGAGGACATTTGGGGCCGGGGGGAGGGGATGGTCCCCTGCCTGCCACCAATGAGCACGGTCACATCCATGTTAAAGGTGAGCAGATAAGGTCAGACTGGTTGGGCAATTTTCCCAGGGCCACTCAGCTGGTGCAAGGGTGGTGAGGGTCTGCACTCAGAGCTGCCAGGCCCCAAAGCCAAAGCTCTCTCTCCCGGGCACGTCATTCTGTTCAGGTCCCTGGACTCACGCGGACTTGAACCTCATGATTTTTCCAGGGATTAAGGTACGCGCTACCATTTTAAGGACCATGTCCAGAACGGTCCTCAGACCAGACTATTATAGACTGTTACATTATAGACGCGTCTGCCGCTCCAGCTCTTATAAAAGATGAACCAGGGAGGAGGACAGATGACTGGGGACAGGCGCACGGGGCCGTGGGACAGGCTGCCCAACGCACTTTCCTTCCACTTGCCTGGCTGACTCCTGCTGGCCCTGCCTTTCGGGTTCCTGGTCCCCTCCTCCAGGAAGCCCTCCCGGACACCCTCACAGGAGCGTTCTTCCCTGTGGTGCACGTGGTATGTGTCTGTTTCTGGGTCTTTCTCTCTAGATTGTGACAGTTTCACTGGTGACGTCCTAGTGTGAGCATGGCACGGGTGCGCCCAGGGTGCCGGCAGGGTGGGTGAGTGCATGGATGAGTAAACGTCACCGGGGCGAGGAAGCCTCACTCCCCACGGTGGGCCACCTGAAGGCTCCTGAGCCTCCAGAACACATGCGATCCAAATGACCGTGACCCAGACTGGAAGATGACGGCAGGCAGACCCTCTAGAGGCTGTGACCCCCAGTCCTGATTTTAGAAAGGTCCTCTCCTTCTCTCCCAGGAGTAAACTCCTAAAATTTGGACACCTTTGGAGTGACCGAGGGCACACTCCTTTAGCGGGGGCCGGCGGAGGGTCCCTGCAGCCCTGTTTAATCCCCGGCGCCGCTCTCGGGAGTCACCCCCCGCTCACTTACGGAGAAGATGGCGGCCAGGGTCTCAATGCCGCCCGTGCTCAGGGTGATGTAGGGGATGTTTCCCGGAGGAATCCCAGCTTTTCCGAAGATGCTGTTGGTGTAGAACCAAATCTGTAACGCAGGGAAGAAGGAGGGAGCAGGGTCAGTGAGGGGCATCCGCGTCCTGCGCTAAGATCAGGCCTGTGGTGTTCTCTCGCGATGCGCAAATCCAGCGTCACAAGGTGGGCCCCCGTAGGGTGTGGCCGGGCGCACGACACTCAGACGCTGGCTGTCCCCACGGCTGAGTTGGGGAGCAGACGCGATGTTTTTTCCCACCATGTACTCATGCCAAGGGGTTCACAGACACGCCTTGGTGGAATGTATGAGGTCGCTCGGGGCATGCAGATCAGAAAGTGGTGTCCCAGCGGAGAGAGAATGCCGTTTAGAAATGCCACGGCTCTGCCCTGGCTGGTGTAGCTCAGTGGATTGAGCGCGGGCTGCGAACCAAGGCATCGCAGGTTCGATTCCCAGCCAGAGCACATGCCTGGGTTGCGGGCCATGGCCTTCAGCAACTGCACATTGATGTTTCTCTCTCTCTCTCTCTCTCTCTCTGTCTACCTCCCTCCCTTCCCTCTCTAAAAATAAATAAATAAAATCTTAAAAAAAAAAAAAAGAAATGCCGTGGCTCCCAGTCTGGAGGCCTCAGCACACACGGATTCCCCACGTGGCTCTTGCGACTCCAAGTCTGGGCTTTGAGAAACGCACGTATTCTCCCTCTCTGCTTTCTCAGAATGCGGGTGGGAGGGGTGGTGGCTCTGAGACCCCGGAGCATGACCTCGACCTTACGAAGAGGAGGAAACAGCAGGACTGGTCCAAGGTCATGCGGTTGACCTGGGCCCCTCCTCACTCCGCACACCTTCCTGAGTGGGGAGCTCACCACCCCCGGAGGCAGCCCCCTGTTTTCCTCCCCGGCCCCCGAATTCCCAGATTCTAATTTCGGGGGCCCTTGAGAGAGAGAAGGAGCAGCTGAGCTCACCAGAGGGTTTGGGGGCTCCCCAGGAGGGCCCCCTCTCCCCACTTCTTGCCCACTACGTGAGCTCAGGCCCAAGACACTTAGTCTTTCGACCTTGAGATTTCCTCAGGCCAAAGTCGCCATTGAAGCGAGCCCAGCCTCGAGTGCTTTTACTTAACTCATCTCGAGGTCTCTTCCTCATGACTTCCTAATACCCGTTTTATTAGCAAATACAACTTTTAAGCATTTAAAGAGCAAGTCATTATACTGATAGGCAGTGTTCATGAAGGGGTAAACCCGCTAGCTGCTGCACGGAACACTTCGCACGGATTATTTTTGTGTGTTCAGTTGTCCCATTCGACAGATGAGGAAACTGAGGGGCAGAGTATGCCCGACGGCACAAGCTGGCCGAGGTGGCAGAGCTGGGACTGGGAGCCACCCCGCCCCACCCCACCCTGTCCCCCCCACCCCGCCTACCCCCGGCTCCTCCACTTGGGCACACTCACCGCGTTGAGGCCGCAGAGCTGGTAGCAGGCCATGGTGACCACCACCGTGAGGACCTGCCAGCGGACGAAGGGGCTCCTTAGCAGCTCCCACACGGACACCAGGCGGATGCCCCTCTGCGTGCGGCCCTCCGCCAGGGCCTCCTCCAGCTCTCGGGACACGTCCTCCTTGCCCAGGAACCTCTGGAGGGCTGCGCATGGGGACAAGGAGGGAGGTGTTCAGCAGAGAGCGGGTCGTTGGCTGGGTCTGACACGGGGCCCCTTAGGGAAGGCCCGGCCACCCAGACACGCACCTTGCCAGGGAAGGGGGTGGCAGGGACCTTTGGAACCACGGGGGTTAAAAACAGGAACACAAACCCCCAGCAGGTGGAGGGACCAGCCCGTGGTCGCCCAGTTGGCTGGAAGAAGAGTCAGGAGAGCCCCAGGATCTCCCAACTGTTCCCCCGGCAAATCTCAGCGTGCTGAGGGTTCAAGTCCTGTGTCTGCCTCTGGGTGGACGGACATTCCGGGCCCATTCCTGCCTCCCGTGGCTGCCATGGTAACGGCATGATTCACTGCCCACGGATGCACACACAGGCCCACCTCCTGCAGGCTCGTCCTCCCTGGCTGCATGCAGCTGGAGGTCCGATCCCCCCTTGGCCAGGGCACCCAGGAGCCGGTTCTGTCACTGAAAGGAGGGCCCCCAGGGCCTTGGCACATGACCCCTGAAACGCAGAGACCACGGGAAATGGTCCCAAGGAGCTAGCCTTCCCAGGGTTCAAACGAACCCAGGTGGCGTATGCCTTTTGCACGCCACCACTGCAAATGCCCAGCCTCGGCGAACCTGTCCTTTTTACCAAGGCCTTCGCTGTGTGAACCTCCACGGGTGGACGTGTGAAGGTGGGTGACCGACGAGGCCCCTGAGGTCATAATAGTCCGGGCACGGGAGAGGCCCTTAGAGGGCAGATTTAAGCCCTCGGTGCTGCGACATTCACCCCCCTACGGGGGCAGGCGGCTCTGGTGTCGGCTCCTGCAGACAGTCCCTTCTGGACACACTGGGCGTCATCCTTAAAGACACTGCTCTGAGCCACAGGGCATGTGAAATTGCTCTTTAGTAGAAAAAAAAAAAGGCCTTTATGCCCTGGCTGGCGTAGCTCAGTGGATTGAGCATGGGCTGCGAACCAAAGCATCGCCGGTTCGATTCCCAGTCAGGGCACATGCCTGGGTTGCAGGCCACGGCCCCCAGCAACCACACATTGATGTTTCTCTCTCTCTCTCTCTCTTTCTCCCTCCCTGCCCTCTCTAAAAATAAATAAATAAAATCTTAAAAAAAAAAGGCCTTTAAACTTGCTCCAGATTCTCCAAGAAGCAAGCCCTGAAGGCTCTCGGTGTTATTTCCGGAGTGTACTAAAAACTGCTCCAGAATGTCTCTTTTGTGAGCTACGATTAATGCTTCTCCTAGCATTTATTAAGCAGAAATGGGAGAAGCAGCCGAATGAGCAACATTTCCGCATCATGCACTAAGCTATAGTATTTCCAAACTTCTGCCAAGTTTAAAATGCAACATTTATATGATAAAGTAATCTTAGAGGTTTGGGTCAGGGAAATATTTCTCTCTCCTCCTTGCCATACATACTTTCCATATAAAATAAGGAAACTTTATAACCTATTTTTTCCCCTTTTCACCTTAGCTGTTGGGAAGCTCTCAGCTAAATTTAATGCTCAGGTCTTAAAAGACAGCAACAGAAAGAAAGAAGGAGCTCCGACCCTTTGCAACAGCTTGGATGGAGCTGGAGAGCATTATGCTAAGTGAAGTAAGTCAGGTGGTGAAAGACAAATACCATATGATCTCACCTTTAACAGGAACCTAAACAACAAAACAAAGAAACAAGCAAAATATAAGCAAAGACAATGAACTAGAGAATAGACTGACAGAGTTCAGAGGGGAGAGGAGAGGGAATTTCAGGGGAATTTCAAGGGAAAAGGGGAAGGGTTTACAGGAACAAGTATAAAGGACACATGGACAAAAACTAGGGGCAGGTGGAAATGGGAGGGAGGAGGGGAGGGCTGGGTAGGTGGGCTGGGATGGGAGTAAAAGATAGAAAATTGTACTGCAACAATTAAAATAAAATTAAAAAAGACTTTCCTAGAACAAAAATCTCTCTTCTTTCTCTTAAAAGTTATGATCTCTTCCTCCTTTAATGCATCAATTTAATTTCCTGTTGTATATGTGCATAAAAATAATTTGCTCTGCTGGCCCCATTCCCTTTCTTATAAGATTCCTACACCTGGGTGAGGGACTGCGTCTTATGGGACTAGCGTGGCAAATGTGGAGTGTGCACTCAGTCCCTTCAGGAACGGACGCCCGCGTGGCTGTGAGCAGTGTGGTTTACTGACGGCATGAGGCTGTCAGCTTCGTGGGCATCCACCTCGACTGGGAAGCCCAGGTGGGGCTGGACTCGCATTTTTGGTTCACCCACAGCCCATGAGTAGAATGTTTCCTCCAGTCTTCGGGGAGGTGGCCTGGAGTCTGAGTCTGCAGCAGGAAGTCCATTCCCAAAAGGGCAGGAAACTGCAGGGAGGGGACACAGCACGTAGCACAGTGTCGGGGTGTCCTGCAGTTGGTAGATGGCCGCCGCCCCTTCTCCTGTCATCACTGTGACCCTACCAGCTCAGGGCAGGTGCTTGTGCTGGTGTTAGGCTTAGGACACTCCCTGCCCGAGGCTGGGTCTTGTTCAGGGCCTGGCGTACAGCAGGTGCTCCAACCAGGTGGGATCAGCGTAACTGGACCTTCCTCATATTTGCTGATGTTTCATTGCATGTGGGTAGGATTGGTCTTGTTCACGTTGGTCCTGAGTTCAGGACCAACGTCAGGAGCTGTGATGTGTCAGAGGTCAGCTCCCCAAAAGGAAGGATTGTCCGACGAATGTTTTCAAGGGTGGATTGGGTGGTTTCACAAGCAGTGAGTTCCCCATCCCCAGAGGTGTGCAAGGAGAGGCTGGATGACCACCTGTGGGAGACGTTGTGGGAGGGACCCTGGCATTGAATGGGAAGGTGGACAGTGAGGTCTCAAAAGCAAGTACAGAGATCCAGTGTGTGCAGGGTCCCTGGAAGACGGGGACGGGTAGGGGTGGCACGGACATGCCGTTGTAACCAGCTGTCCTTGGAGAGAGACAAAGCAACCTCAGAAACCCGAGGAAAGTAACCCTCACAGAGGAGCCTGTTCTCTTTCACGTACAAGTTGTCTAAAGAGCTCCTCCCATCTCCCCCAGGCCCTCTCCTCCCAGCTCAGCCTCCCGCCCTCGCCTGCACTGGAAAGCAAGAGGCTCCCCAGGGCTCCCCGCGCATTCTTACTCCCACTCACGTTCCAGTCTCTGACTCCAGGGAGCTGGGGAGGGGATGGAGAATTTGCACTGCCCAGCTGGAAGGCAAGCCCTCTGGGGGCCTGGTCAGCTCTGGGGCTGGGAAAGGGAGCCCTGACGTAACCAGGATCTGTAGCCAGGATCTGTCCCAGTCAAAGACTCGCCTGTACTCAGGGGGAGAGGAGGCTGACATGTATTGTGTACCTACTGGGTGCCGGACAGGGGCTAGGCGTCTTACAGACTTGACCACAACTCCTAGTGCTGTGCAGTCAGCAGAGCCTCGGGGAGGTTGGGGAATGGGACAGAGAGAGGGGCAATGTCCCGCTAGATGGCTTTGATCTTTCTTGCCACACCCCTCAAAGAACGACGGAAAAGCAACTGCAAAGTTGAGAAGCTCGTGGGACCAAAGTCAGTTCATTTCCATTACCCTGCAGCTCTGGACGGCTTGCTAGGTGCTGAGTAGGGGTCCGGGGCCGGGGTGCTAAGGTCACCGCACGAAGGGAGGAACAAGGCATGGTTTCTGCTCAGAGGCGTGGGGGACGGAACTGCCACTCCAGGGGGCGGTGCTGGAGGCCGGGCCTGCAGGGCCCTCACAAAGCCCGGCCAGGGCCGTGCTTTTACTGCCATTTAACAGACGGGGAAACCGAGGCTCCAAGGGACGAAGAGACATGCCCGTGTCACACCGGAGTGCTGGCAATTGCACTCCGGCACTGCTGCATGCCCACAGGGGTGTGGCTCCCAGGATGATGTCAACAGAGGCGGTCACAGACAGTGCACCTCCTTGCCCCGCACCGCCCCTGCCTGTGCAAGACGTCAGGTCCCGCCAGGAGACACACTGAAAGCCCTCTGGCCCAGCGGTGCCCTCCAGCTGTCTGCGGGCCCCCTGTCCTTGCCATGCTTGCATTCACACGCCCTACGATGACAAGTGCATTAATACAGTAGGAGCACTATTTGTAGCTGTGGCTCCTGTTTCTTTCAGTTGTAAGTCATTCACTGTTGCAAAGTTTTATGATGTCTTCATGCTGCAGCGGAAAGAACCCACAGGAGCTGTCTCTTGGGATGCACTCTGCAGTGGTGCTGGGGACGGGCGCCCTGCCCTGTGGAACAGCATCTCCCAGCAACCTCGTCTTCTCTAACCGGCCGTTCCTGGCCCCGTGTAGTGTGATACTGGCGCTCTCTCTGTGCTTGTGAACTCCGCTCCCTTGCACGTGGATGTGAGGACAGGAGAACTGGGCAGGGGGTGGGGAGAGGAGGAGCAGAGGGAGGGCCACCACAGACCGACACCACTGAGAAATCTGCGTCCTTCTCCTCTCTGTGGTGGGGACCACCCAACGAACAGACACCACAGCCCAGAAGGGAGCGGACCTGGGGTTTATCCTGCTCTGTCCTGGCTTCCCAGGCTCCCAGGCTCCCAGGTGTGACCCGTGTCCCCTCCTGGGCTGCCCATAGCAGACTGATTTACAGTGTCCTAAGGTGTCCAGCACCTCGCCTGCAGAGAGGGGTGGCCCAGGTCCCTGCGTGTCCCCCCACACTGACCCTGGGAAGATGCTTCCTGGCAAAAGGCCCTACCTTTCTCCGCGCCCACCTGGTCATGCTTCTCAAACAGCAGGTAGCGTGGGCTCTCGGGGAGAAAGGGCAGGCTCACCAGCTGGACCATGGCGGGGATGACAATCACTGCAAACAGGTATGGCCAGGTGCTCTCCTGAAGGGAGAAGAGGGGTCCAGTGAATGGGCGTGGCCTCCAGTCCTTGCCTGGGAGCTGGCCCCAGGCTGTGCAGTGTCAGCTCTGCAGAGGGTCCCTCCTCTGCACCAGTGCGACCCCCACCAGCGAAGGCTGGGCCAGGGGTCGGACACTGTTTAGCACCGGCCCCACGTCTCCGGAATTCTCCGCGAGGCTGTGAATCCTGTCAGGTGGCTACCTGTGGGGAGCTCTGAGAAGGAGTAGTTCAGGGAGCCACAGGCTGGTTCTGATCGGTGTCAGGACTCCGGGCACCAGGGCAAGCCTGGGGGGGCTTTGCCCTCCATGGAGTGTGGCCTTGGAAACCGTTCTCAAGGCCCGCTGGTATCTCCATCTCTTTACCTGTGGTGTGGGGACAGCCCCAGCCACCTGTCAGGCTGTCCTGAGAGTGGGATCAAGTCACACTTTGATGGTGGGCCCTGGCGCACAGTAGGTGCACAGAGGAAACCACGTTCATGCTAGTGGGACCACCTAGCCACCTCCAAGGCCTGCACTCTCCAGCCTGTCAGTGAACCGGGCGGGCAGCACCCGCCTGGCTGCCAGGGCCTCATGGCTGGGACACGTCCAGAGCCTCGTGGCCAGGCCACGTCCAGAGCCACGCACCTTTCCGTCCCTGGGGCTCAGGAAGTCCTCTCTCCCTTCCAACACCCACGCCCACTCAGGCCACAGACTCCAGGTGCACCTGAACAACCGTTTTCCCCTGAGGCTGCCTTGAAGACAGAATAGTCAAGTTCAGGCAAGATTCAAAGTCTTTCTTTAAAATCCACATGACATGACTTCAAGCACTACTGAATTTATTTTTCACTCCCTTCAACCTTCCTTGCTGGCAGACTGAGATCCCGGCTGAGCGGATCAAGAGGTCGAAGTTCCCCCAGCCCTGGGCGGGCGTCAGCACACAACCGCACAGCATTACCCCTCAACCCTGCAACCCGAGAGGGCAGGAGCCTTGGGGGGGCTTTGATGCGAGACCTTCCTTTGAGTGATGAGGAGCTCAAGGTCAGGAGAGGGGACTCACCCAAAGCCACAGCACTGAGCACTGGGCTGGCCTGAGTCTTGCCCACGCTGCACACAGCATAGCAGGTAGGCCGGGCGGGGGGGGTGGGGGGGATGAGGGGCGGTGTCTGTCTGTGTTCTCAGAAGCAAAGCAGCATTAGGGAGCATCTTAAGGTCACAGACCCCAGTCAGATCTATGGCGGTACAGAGACGAGACCTCTTGACACAGGAGAGTAAGAAGCTAGGAAAATTCCTGGGCGAGTGGAACAGGGACACTGAGACAAGAAAATTAAACAGAGCCCAACGGTTTGAGCAATTTACTGGCAGCTGGTGAATCACAAGACCTTATCTTCCCTAACCAGAGAACGCATAGCCTCAGCTGGCTGTAAACCCCAGGTGTCCAGGGCAGAGAGGAATTCTAATGTAGACGCAGATGGAGAGGCAACACCGGAACCTAGGGAGGCCGTTTGGGAAGAAGCTGCCGACGCCCCTGTCAGCTCCCTGCCCACCCCCGCAAGAGAAACAGCACATCTGCACACCTGCTAGGAATTTCCCCTCCCAAATTCCCACGTTTCCCCATATAAACTTGCTCTGAAAGCTCAAGGGAAGGTGGATGCTAGGGGTTCACCGGCCTCCTGCTCAGACTGCTGGCCTCTGCTATTAGTACAGCACGATTATGCTCCAGCCCTTGTCCCTGCCTTTTGGCTGGGCCGGAAAAGGCAGCATGGGCCCCAGGCCCGGTTGCCCTCCAGTTTCACTCTGGCTCAGTGCCTGGGGAAGACCAGCAGGTGGGTGACCAGTCAGTCACCTCCTCTGTCTCTAAGACACGAGTACTGTTTGGAGAAGGTTGAAGTGGGACAGCGACCTCTAATGGCCACAGGAAAGAGGCGATGCCTGAGAAGTGCCCAGCACACCTTGCACGCAGTGGTGCTGAATGGAGCTAAGATCTCAGGAGTGGTTCCCACACGCAAGGTATGGGAATTGTGTGTGTCACTGGTTGAATTCTCACAACAGCTCACTGAGCTGTGCACATTCATCCTTATCTTATGAACCAAGATACAGATGGTCAGCAAGACTAGGGTGTCAGATTTTGTCCCAGTGAGACTGGTTTTGGCCCTGGCTGGTGGGGCTCAGTGGATTGAGCACCAGCCTGCGAATCCAAAGGTTGCTGGCTCGATTCCCGGTCAGGGCACATGCCTGGGCTGCAGGCCGGGTCCCCAGTTGGGGGTGTGCGAGAGGCAACCAATCTATTGATGTGTCTCTTGCACGTCAATGTTTCTCTCCTTTTCCCTCCCCCTCCCTTCCCCTCTCTAAAATGAATAAAATCTTAAAACAAAAATGGTTTTGAACTTCTGGCCTCCAGGAATGGGACAGAATAAAATTTAGTCTCTGGTGTGGTAATTTGTTATAGCACCAACAAGAAACAAATATCCTTGTGAAACCTCCCAACTTGCTAATAAGCAAAGAAAAATTAAAAATATTATAATGCATCCTGGCTGGTGTGGCTCAATGGATTGAGTACCTGCCTGCAAACCAAAGGGTCGCTGGTTCGTTTCCCAGTCAGGGCACATGCCTGGGTTGCAGGTCCCCAGTAGGGGGTACATGAGAGGCAACCACACATTGATGTTTCTCTCTCTCTCTCTTTCTCCATCTCTTCCCCTCTGTCTAAAAATAAATAAACAAAATCTTAAAAAAATGATAATGCAATATGATACTATCTTTCCTATTAAATATCCAAGAGTTAATTAAATGGTTATGATGACAAGCATAGGGTCACACTCGGGCTCCTGCGTGTACACCACTGGTGGGAAAGCACGTTGAGGCAGCCCCTCGATGCAAGAGAACTTGGATAACACGTATAAAAGCCTTAAATGAATTGGTGTTCTCGCACCCATTGCTTCCATTTCTTGGACACTGAACTACCTGAATAATGAGCGGTTTGAATGATGACTTCTGTAGAAGGTCGTTCACCCCAGGTTTGCAAATTGCAGTGTTTTAATAATAAACACTGGAAACAGTCTGAATGCCCAGCATTAAAAGAACAATGGAACAAATTATGGTAACTCATAAAAGAGAATACTATACAATTATTAAAATTATCATGGCAAATGATTTTAATGACTTGCTCACAATATCATGTTGCAAAACAATCACCAGAGTTATAAATAGAATGAACCCAAGAGTGCATATGTGTGTATGTGCATAAGTGATATGCACAAAATGAAAAGGAATATTAAAACCGTTAGTGTTTACCCAGAAATGATGGGATACAGAAACATTTATTTCCCAAATTCTTCCTCATTGGGTGTGACGGGCATACAATGGTTGCATCATAACCATAAAAATCAAGTAAGTGAAAGGAAGGAGCTGAAAGATGTACAGAACAGATATTTGTTTTAAGTTCATTCACGTTGGTGACAAAGCAGAAGGAGCAACGGCATCAACAACGGACAGTAGTTACTGTGCGCCTTTGAGATGGAAGGCGACATTGACACTATTTAAACTGCGTGTTCACAAAGAGTCTTCGGAGGCATGGGGGAGGGAGAGATGTCAGCCTGATGGCGAGTGATTTTTTACAGCCAAGCACAGAGCCAAGCACAGCAGTATTTCTGTCGTGCGGCAGGTCTCAGAAATGTGGAAATAAACCAAAATATTGAAAGTGGGCTGCCCCCCCCAAAATGGCAGAATTTCAAGTGGCTTTACCTCTTCTTCTTTTTTCCCAAATGCCCTAAGCTGAGCACGAAATAGTTCTACAGAGGAGTGAAATGGACATGTGTCATGTAGGAAGTGTGTTGCCGTCTGAGCGATGCTGAGCTTCCTCCCAGGCACCCGGAACCACTCGCCCCTGACCCCGTGTTCCTCCCGTGTCTTCTTACCCGTCTGCACACGACTTTTGTCTAAGTTCCTTCTTTCTTTTTCATTGCATGATAAAGAGCGAGTTAGTATGTTTTTAAAAATAGGCTTTGGAGGCATAAAACGTCCTTAAAACCCTACCCCCCACAGTATCTGCGATGTGTCTTGGATTCCAGTCCCGACAGCACGTTGATTCCGGCCTTTCCTTCCCTTCCCCTCCCATGTTGTGCCGCCTCTGGCTGCTTCCCGCCACCTCCGCGCTTCAAAGCGATCGCCTGTATCTGCATCGCAGGGCAGTCTCCCTCTCTTTATTATTTTTTTTTACAAGCCCGGTTTTCCTCTCTTTAATGTTTTTACAAGCTCCGTTGTCTCTGTCTTTGAAGGCAAATGAGAAGGAAGACTAATACAGAGAAAATGAAATTCTGACACTTAGTGAGATAACTGTGGATCACACTTGGCCGGAGTGTCACACAAGTGCCCAAAGAGGTGAATGAAAATCTCCCATTCGGTGTTCTTTCCCGGACCGGAGCCTCATGTCCCGGAGTGTGGACTGGAGATCCAGGCATTCACTGAGTCCCCCCTTCCCCCCCCACCCAGTTCCCAGAGCATCTGAAAAAACCCAACCCGATGGGGAAGACAGACCCTGGGGACGAACCAATGGCACACCTTCTCAGGGGCTCTGGTCAGAAGGCGGACTCAGGCACGGAGTCCCTCGGGTGGGCGTCACGCTCAGGAGCCGTGTTTTTGCAGGGAGAGAGTGCCCACCCCGGAGAACCCCCACGCCAGAGTCCCGCACTCAGCTCTGCCTGCAAGCCGCTCCGACTTGGGCAGTTCCTGCCAGTGGCCTCGCCATCCTACCTTCCGCGAAGCTGCTCCTTTCCCGCCGGGGCTCCCTCTCCTGGCATCCGGTACCCCGTTCTCCCTGCACCACCGGCCAAACACCAGAGGTCCCCACCCCCAGACACCGCGTCCCGTCACTCACTAAGCAATCTCCTCCGCCTGCCTCCACGCCCACTGCGTGGCCCCAATCCAAGCTCCCAGCGACTCTCCACCGGCCGAGCGCAACCTCCCAGGCTCGGCTGCAGCCCCGACACCCAGCTCAGCGATCGGCAAAGGTGCTGAACGAGCGAATGGGGAGAGAACACAGAGGTACAGGAAAGACCCGGGAACTCGTATGGACTGAACACTTTTGTCCCCTCCAAACAGACTCTATGTGAAAATCCTAACCCTCAAGGTCATGAGATGAGGAGGGGGGCCTTCGGGAGGTGATTAGGTTATGAAGGTGGGGACCTCATGAATGGGACCAGGGACTGTCCTTATGAGAGGAGACAAGAGAGGGGTGCTCTCGCGCCCCCAGGAGAGGGGGCGTCGAGAAGGTGGCTGTCTCTAAGTCAGGAAGGGGGCCCTGGCTGGAACCCGACCGTGCTGGCACCCCATCTCTGCCTTCCAGCCTCCAGGATTCTGAGGACCGAATTTCTGTTGTTTGCAAGCTCCCCTGTCCGTGGGGTTTGCTACAGCACCCCAAGGGACTAAGACGGCATCTGAACAGCAGAAATGGCCTGGTATCGGTTTGCAAAAGCAGACCTGGATGAGTGATGAGCAACGGGAGACTCTCTCAAAACAGAAAAAGCAAAACCTCTATGGAAGCAGATGGTTACTTACTTTCTCCCCCTGGAGGACAATAGTGCTATTCATTGACTTTAAAATATATTTTTATCCTCAGGGAGCTGAGGCTGTAATTGTTATATTGTGGTGTGTTGTTTTTTTTTTTTGTCACACACACAATGTTTACAATGTTTAGAATGTTAAAATAGCTCCAAAAACAAAAGGCGAAGAGCCTCTTTAGAACGGGTCCTCACTTTGCTGGGGAGACGGTTCCAACACGCTCGCGTTAATTACAGAAATGGCGATGCAGGCGAAGGCCGCAGAGGGGACGTGTGAGTTGTTTTTGTTTTCTTTTTTGACAAGAAGAGAAACAAGCCGGAGCCGTAAAATCCCCAAAGGGTCGATAATAAAAGATCGGAAGCAGGTGCCTCTGCGGCGACGTGGATCGGTGGAAATATAAAAAAGTCACACTTCCTGCTCTGAGGTTGTTCGCTCTCAAACGGCGACAGTGGTAAGGCACGTGTCATGTGTGTTTTGCCGCAGTGAACACAGGCAGCAGAGCGTCCCAAACAGGTTTTGAAGGACAAGCGCCAACCAGGTCCCAGGACCCGGCCTGTCCCCGCGCGGCCACCGCGCTGGCTCCCTCCGCGCTGGATCCCTCCGCGTGGACAACCTTCCCCGAACGAGGCAGGGGCGGCTCTAGGGTTTCTCAGCTCAGGCACCAAGGGGCCCTGGGACCCTCTAACCCAGGCTCTCACTGCCACACTGTGACTTACAACAGGAAACATAGATTTGGTCTTCTATTTCTGGCACAGAACTCCTAGAACTGAAGGGATTTCCTAAGTGAGAGGAGCAATAAAGGTGTCTCGATCTTTGCAACAAGCCCCTTCCAGCCACACCTGAGTTTAGCTGATGAGGTGGCTTCTGGAAAGTACTCAAGGATGAGAGCTGGCGGCCAAGGGGCACAACCCTCGGTCAGAGGGTTGGGATTCCCAGCACCCCCTGCCTGACCTCCGGGCCATGATCTAATTAACCACCTCTACGTGATAAAAGCTCCGTGAAAACCCAAATGGCCAGGGACTGGCGAGTGCCCCAATCACAGCAGCCTCCTGCCGGGCCCTTTCCTCCCCCTTCACCCTTCTGCTCCCTCCCCAGACGCCCCTTGTAACTCAGGCCAGTCACTCGCCTGCTCTAGTGCCGCCTGCCCGGGGCTCCCTGCTCCCCGGGACAGTGTCCGGGGAAGCTCAGTGAACGGGGCCTCACATCATGCTCCCCACGCAGGCTCGTCCCTCAGCCCCGAGCCACTCGGGGGTCTTCCAGCGGGCTGTGCCCCATCTCCCGGCTGTGCCCCGCCTCGGCCTTTTCCTCTCTTGCTCTCTTTCTCTGCAATGTCTTCTCTCCAAACCCCACCACCACCTGCCTAACCTCTGCTCACCCTTGAGCAGGGCTCAGGGCTCAGTTTCGAGGCCACTTCTGGGAAGGCGAGGCCACTTCTTCCCTCCTTGTTCCTGCCCGCACCCCACGCGGACCGAGGTGAGGCACCCCTCCTTGCCAAGGCCCACAGCAAGTGAATAGGTTGGACTGGGATTCAGAGTCAGGCCTTTCTGCTTCCAGAACAGAAAGCCAAAAGCAGAAGACTGGGCCCCTACCTCTTCATGCAGGAGAGGAAGGCTCAAGAGGGAGGCAGAGCTAAGCAGAACATCTCAGAAAGATGCCCGACATCCGTTGAGTGAGAACAGCAAGTGGAGGGACGGTGCATGCGGCAGGACGCCGTGACAAAAACGATACAGGCTTGTATGGGTTTGCAAAAGCCTAAATGAACTCTAATCGAGCTGTTAGCAATAGCTGCAGAATTGAACATTCTGTAAGGTTGGAATTTGTTAGGGTTCTTTATATCCTGAAAAAAAATATCCTAAAGAAAACCCAAAGTATTCAACGGTAACTTTTCTGCAACAATAAGTGAGAGGCTTGAACGCTCAGGAATTCCAAGGCATAGGGCCAAGCTTCCAGAGGAAGGGCTCACCTCTGGTTGCCCTTTGTCCCACAAGGGACGTGGGGACCCGAGACGGTGACGTGAGATGAGAACAGCCCTGGTGGGCCGGGGAGCCACACTTACCTTGCCCAGCAGCTCAGGCAGGCCCAGCAGCTGTCCGGTGAACACGCCAATGCAGATGAAGATGGCGGTCACCTGCCCCAGAGAGCCGCGGATCTCCTTGGGCGAGATCTCGCCCAGGTACATGGGGAGCACGCTGAGGGCGACGCCTGCGGAGGGAGCGCGGCAGTGATGAGAGAGTCATCTTCTCCGAGGGAGGAGCACTCTGGTCAGTGAGGGAGCTGTCTCCTCGAGGAAGACGCTGGTCGCAGCACCTCTTCTGCTTGACAAAGGTGGCGCGGCAGCCACAGCCCCATTCCCAGCACTCCGCACTAGCTGCCAGTGCTTGCTTCACCGCGCACTGTGTCATTCGGTCCATGAGGTGTGGCTGGGAGGTGGCTTCCACACGAGAGGACACAGCTGATGATGGTGATACAGGTGCTGCCGGTGGTGGTGGTAGTGCTGGTGGTGGTGGTGGTGATGGTGGTGGTAATGGTGATGATGGTGGTGATGGTGGTGGTGATATAGTGATGGTGATGGTGGTGGTGGTGGTGATGGTGGTTATGATGGTGATGGTGACATGGTGATAATGACAATGGTGGTGCTCATGGTGGTGATGGTGATGGTGGTGGTGATGGTGATGTTTGGTGTTGGTGTTCTTTCTTTGAGAAGTCATGTAGGCCTTGAATTTCCTTTCTTGAAAGTTGTAAATGACATGTTCAACTAATTTAATTAAATAGGACTATTTAGATATTCTATTTCCTCTTCTGTCAGTATTGGTGAGCATTTTTTTTCTTTCTAGACATCTGTACATTTTATCTCAAATTTTCAGATATATTGCATGAATGTGTTCACATCTCTGAACTTCGCTGTCCTCGTGTAAAATGACAAACACCCCCTAGGAACGCAGAAACATGTCCCCGCCCCTCCCCGGCCCTGGAGAAGTCTCACCTCCATCTATGCCCATGATGAAGCGGCCCACGATGAGCATTTCAAAGGCTCCCGCCGGGAGAGCACAGGCCATCAGCAATGCGGCGGAAATCGCAAAGACATTGTTGGCCAGTAGAGTGTGCTTCCTGGAAGAGAAGGACGGGTTCCATGAGGAGGCCCGACCACGAGGCTGTCACTGGCCTGTCCCACCAGGAGCAGGGTCCCCCACGGTCCCCATGGCCACCTCTGGCTGTGTGACTCTGAGCGAGGTACTGGCTCCCTCTGGGTCTGCCATGGGGGGTGATCGCCATGACCATGGACTGCTCTGAGCAGGACTGTCACCACTGTTTCATGAACATGTCCCCGAGACTTCAGGTTTGGAAGCGTGGCTTGTGTGGAGGTCCGGGACCTGGTTCCCACACCAGCTCCCTCTTTTTAGGAGCTGGGTGACTTTGCAAAGTGATCACAGTAGCTCACTTTGGGCTACTGAGTATGGGATTCTTGCTCTGTGATCGACCTCCTTATATACTCTTTACATGAATGAGTAGCTCATCTATGGCTCAAAATGACCCTATCGGGCAGATAAGAGTCTTATTCCTATCTTACAGAGCAGTTAACCAGGGGACAAATTAGAAACTTGTTTCAGGTCACATAACTAGTGAGTCAAGGACCTGGGGAAACATCTTAGCCTCTCGCGGGATATTTTTTCCCCCTAAAGACTCAATGAGTTAATGGATATTAAATTGTTTTATAAATTGTAAGAAGCTCAGGATTGGAAAGGGGATTTTGTTATCGCTTTTAGGAACGAGATCTCTTCCTACTTTCTATTCTCACTTCCTGTTCCACTGGGCACGGAAGCAATCCGAGAGGCCCTTCCCACGTTCCCTCCACGCGCACAGGCCCGCCGGCCTCTGTGCCCAGACACTCTGCCACCCTTGATTCCCTGCACGGGCGCCCCTCCCCCCCGTGTCTCCAAGGGCAAGCCCCCCAGTTACCTACTAGCTGCCCACCCGCTGTCGGCACTCAGGGATATTGCTTCAGCAAGTTTCACTTCTCGGTCCTAACTATGCATTTTTCTCTCTCTGCTGGAACACCTCATTCACGTGCTGCCGTAGCTCCCATCTTGAAAGAAAGCACAAGAACGATGCTCCCGGGCCTCCAGCTTCCTCCACCTACCATCGTCTCTGCTCCCCCGTGTGGAACTCCTCAAAGAGAGCATCTCACCGCGTGTCTCCACTTCTTCATCTCTCCTTCTCTCTCACACCCAATCTGGCACTTGTCCCCTCTGTGGTGCCCTTGAAATGACTGTCGTCCTGGCAACTGGCAACCTCCATGATGCCGAATCCACTGCTGAAGCTCAGGCCTCGCCTGCTTTTCTCGGCAGCGCTGGGCACAGCGGATTGCCGCCTCCTTCTTTCTCTCGCTTTCCAGATCCCACCCAGTGGCAGGTCCGCGCCGATCTCCTTGGCCAATATTCACCATCTGCCCAGCCCCCCAAAGAGTGGAGGGCTCAGGCCACGGCAGCTTGTCATGGCAGCGCGAGCCGACCACCACATGCTTAGACGTGCAATGCGGGCTCCTCTGGCCAGCATCTAGGGAGCTAACATCCTTTCCTACTGCTATAAAATAAAGACGTGCTTTAAAATATCAAAGTAGAAAAAGAGGAGGAAAAAATGACCTTTTCAGAACCCGCTCTTTGACTGGCGTGACGCACAGGGGGCTGGTTGTTGGTGTTTGTTGACTATCCGTCCGTCTTCTTCTGGTGGGAGTCCCTCGGAGTTCCCCCCAGAGCCCTTCCTGCCCTCAGCCTCGGTGTGGGGGCCTGTGGTGGCCGTCTCCACCCAGTGGTGGCCCTAGGGATGGGCATGTGACATTAGTAATCTTAAAGGACATTGGAAATGTCATTCGCCAGGAATCCAGCCCTGGCACTGGTAACATTTGGAGCCGGAACTTCTTTGCGGTGTCCTGTGCATCGGTGGGATCCCAGGCCGCTCCTGACTAGTAGCACCCTTTAGCTGCAACAACCAGAAGTGTCTCCAAACACTGTCAAACGTCTCCCGATGCGGCAGTACTGCCCTGGCGGAGGGTCCCTGAGGGCGTGCAACCTCACTCGGGTCGCTGAGATTCACAGATGTGTGCTGGAGCGCCAGCAGGGACAGTGTCCGCCTGAGCAGATGGGCCCACCTTGTGCTGACGTGGGGGAAGACCACCGTGCACGAAGCCGACATAGAGCGAGGCAGAGCCCAGAGACGGAGAAAATAGCGTTTCTTATGATACCATATGAGCTGCTGGGTTCAGCTGAGGTATAGTTCAGTTGTGGGAGCCAACTCGAATTTTGAGCCTAGGCCAATTTGATCTGGCTTCCTGTCACAGGCATTCAAACAGCCTTCTGAGTGAGAGGGGACACGTCAGCATGATTTTCACCATGAACTGAGCAGGGCCTGCCTCCCTGCCGCAGCACCTGCCCCGGGCAGCAGGCCTTGGTCTCCGCCGCCCACGGGCCCAGCGCCCGGCTGCCAGAGGGCGCTCAGAAAGGCTTGTGGAGTGGATGAGCACAGTCAGATGGGCTGCCCAAGATGCGGGCCCAGCGTCTGAGGCCCAAGCCCTGGGGAGATTCCCCACGTCTCTTCCCTAGCTTCTGTGCTTTGCTCCAGAGAGAAGAGCCGGATCCAGTGCCGGGTAAGGAGGCTCCTTTCGGTGCAATTTCATGAATGCGCACATTGGCTCTGCCAGCTGCTGGCAGGACGTCCTTGGGAAGAGCTAGCGATGCCGGCGTTGCGAGGACAGTGACCTTGAGCTGGGCGCTGACTCTGCATCAGTCCCTGAGATGAACCCTTTACAGCCACATGACAATCCTGTGACTCGGTCTTCATTTTCCTGGAGCCAGGGGAAGCCCAGAGACTTTGAGACATGCATCCTCGGCCCCATGAGCTGTGAGTATAGGGACTCGAGGCCGGGCCCATAGCTAGCACCTGTGCGCCCACATGGTCATCGTCCTCTCTCTTACTAAAGCCATGTAAGCGGGGGACTAATGGCCCCATGTGAGGGGCTGGGACTCCAAAGCAGTTCTCTACGGCCAGAGTTCCTGAAGCTGGAGAGTGCAGGAGATCAAGAACCTGCGCCTCTGAGCCCAGATGATGGGATGGCTCATATCCAGAGTCGGTGCCTAGCCCCTGTGTGCCCCTGTCCTCACCCCTCTCCTAAAGCAAGGTGAGTTTAACATGCCCTACCTGGATCGGTTGCCTGGTGGACCTACCCATGACCACACCCACCAGACTCCCAGGATGCCCGGCTCCAGCTGAACCTCTCTCCTAGCCCCTTCCATGGGCCCTGACCCCAGCCATGCACGTCGAGCCCAGCCTCCTCCTCCTCCCCAATGGCCCCCAGCGGGAACCAACAATGAGGCCTCCAGAAGCATCGCAATGGGCACCCTGTGGCGGCAAGAGTGCAGGCTTGTGGTCGAGCAGACCCAGACCCGAACTGCAGGCCAGCTGTGTTCTGTGGAGCCCGGGACAACTTGCTGGGCCTCTTGGGCCTCGGACGCATCTCCTGTTGACCACTTCCCGGCCTTTTGGCTAAGGTCAAGGGTAAAATCTCTCCAGGTGAACTAAGGAGCATGTTGCCACCTGCTGGGATCCCGGCTATAGCCCAGACACATCATGAACATTACGGAGAGCATCGGCAAACAGAGACAGACTCACTGACCTCCCAAGAAACTTTCCGATCAGCTTCACCATTAGCGTCCCCGCGAGTCCGCCGATGGCGAATATGGACACGGTCACCGACCAGAGCAGAGTCAAAGTGTCCGGGTGTATCGGCTGTCCGTACCTTCTTTCCCACGTCTCGTTGTAAAAGGCCTTGATGTACTGTGGACAGACAGTAAACCCGGTTATTCCTGCAGCCCGCCCGCCGCCGGAAGCTGGCTGGGGTGGGAACAGAGCAGCCGGGGCAGGGCGCGTCCTCCCCGCTCGGACTGTGCCAAGTTCCGTTCGAGCAGACGAACTGTGCTTCAGTGTCCGCTCCTAACTGAGTCTGTGGATGGGCCCTATTTTTTCACCCCATTTTGCAGATAGAGAAACTGAGGCTCCGAGACACAGAGTGACTTGCTTAGTAAGTGGCCAGCCTGGGACTCAGACTCAGCTCTGACCCCACACCCAGAGCAGCCGCGATGCCCGGGCTCCTCCGACGTGGGCGCCCAGCAGCAAGTCCCGGGGAGTGTGTTACAGATGCGCACACCTGACACGAGAGAACCCCCGTGCCACCCGGCGGCAGGCCGAGACACAAGATCAGAAAACTCTAACCGTAAAAGAGAAACAAAGTGGCCATCTGCATCTCATCGGAACTGAAGACTGAGATAACAGGTTTGCAACACGTATTATCACAAAGGACTGGCACTCACAATCCATAAAGAACTCACGCCAGCCAATAGGAAGACACACGGCCCAATTTAGAGCGAGCAAAAGAGTCAGACAGACTCCAGAGAAAATCCAAGTGACGAGTGAGCTAATGCCATCATGCCCAGCGTCATTCGTGAGTCAACAGGGCAATGCAAATAGAAACCACAGTGAGACGCCCCTTCACACCCATCAGAACCTCATCGCTATCGATTCGATGCAGTGGGTTTGGGACGGGGACCGCGTGACTGGGATGTGAACCAAAAGCTGAGGTCACGACACTGTACTCTGCTGAGGGCTCCCTCCCCCAGACGCTCATAGTCACCCACTGCTGCCCAGCATGGGCCCACAAGGCTCTCCAGAGCCGGCACACGACACTGTGGAAAATCACGGGTTCAGGTTGCAAAGACCTAGGCATGAGTCCCAGCGTCACGATTTGCTCATCATTTAAACCTGCGGGACCCCATTCTCCTTATCTGCAACATGGGAGCCACGACACTGACTCCTCGGGGCCGTTGTGAGGTCCAGACAGGAGCCTAGCGCCGGGGGCGGGCTCCCACGGGCCCGGCAGCCCGAGAACCCGTGGGTCCGCCAGCAGCGTGTGCCCTGCCGCACTGGCAGTGGGACTTCAGTGTGTCCAGCCACCCTGGAAACCAGTTTGAGGGTGCCCCTAATCTATTGTCCAACCTATAAAATCCATGTCTAGAGAACTCCTCTAAAAACCTCTTTGCCACCTGCCCTGGGATTCATTCGCACAAATGCCTGGGGCAGCGTTGCACATAGCCACGGGGGCTGCCTTGACCGCCGACTGCCCCCTCCCCGAGCTGCCTTCTGTCAGCGGCTGGCATTAACGCTGACCCTTGGTTTTCCTGTACGCCGGTGGCATCTTTCATCTTTTCAGCTACTCGGTGTCAGAAGCCCCCGTCCCATTCGGGAGTCATTCCTGCCTTACAAGCCCAGTGGGAAACAGGGCCCACTCGTCACTGCGGAGGGTGGAAATGCCGGATGCCTGCCCTCCCAGCATCACTTGAAGCTAGGGAGTAGACATGTGATTTAGGCTCAGCCAATCAGAGGCCTGGACTTTGCACGAGGCTCCTGAAGCTAAGGAATGGGGCCAGGGATTGCCCACCAGCAGAGAGATCTCCCCGGCAAAAGTGCCTTTGGGGCGGTGGCAGCGGCCCCATGGGAGCTGAGGTCCTATTCCGGGTGCAGTAGGTGGCAGAGGTGGCTGCAGGGGACCCCCAGGCCCCGCTCTGGCATGCTTTGGGGCGTCACCCCAGGCTGCAGAGCTCCCGGCCTGGCTGGCCAGCTCTCCCGTTGACCCTGCGAGCCGCTCATTACTTTTCCAACACCTTTTTTCCTGCTTCAATCAGACGAAATGGTGGTTGTCGCTTACAACTGTCGAAACTCTGCCAGAACCTCTGCATGCTCCCATTTGACCCTCACGACAGCCCCATTGGCAGAAACCTCCATTTCCGGAGGAGGGAAGCAAGAGCTCTGTCACTTGCTCGGTCACCTGGCTGAGGTGGCGGAGGAGGATTCGTGTGACATTGGCTTTGGCCTGACCTCAGGGCCAGAACGCACCCAATCCACTGGCGGCCCCTTCGTTTCCCAGTGAAGGAGTGGGAGAGAAGCGCTGAGTCCGACGCGCACTCGTTGATTTAACAGTAGCCCCAGTGAGGCCCCCGCTGGGGGCTAGATACCCTGTGACCCCGGTGAGTGCGACAGCAACGACCCCCGGGAGCCCAGAGTAGAGCCGGAGAAACTGTGATGATTCCCAAGCTGAAGGGATGGAGGGGCCCCCGGAAGGCAGGGGTGCAGGAGGCCCCGGGCGCAACAGCAAGTGTTTATGGGGCTGAGCCCCTTCGGAGAAGCTGGAAGTACCCAGGACTTTGCAGACACCCCTCCTGCTTGCAGTCCGATAAACAGGAGACCCCCTTGCATAGAAGGTGGTTCTTGGATGTGACCTTTGACCCTACAGCCGTCCTGCATGGATTTAAGCAAGTGCAGCTGCCTTGTGGACCCCCACCCCAGAGGCTCTTACTACACACAGGCTGCCGTGACCAGCTCCCCGGAGTTCGTGTGCAGAAACTAAGAGGACGCCATTGGGAAGGAAGTTCTCCCTTTTTCTTTCCGGGCACTCAGGAGGCTGGAGGGGAAGGGGGCGGCTGTGCACCCCTCACTGCTTGATGTTGCTGAGGGGCGTCTGCAGAGCGAGGGGCAGGCTGGGACACCGCCAGGCCGGCCTGTGCACGGGCGGGAGCACCTTTCTCCAAGGCTCCCCTAGAGCTGGTTTCCGAGGAATGCCTTTGGCGGTTAAATGTCTGTCTCCGCCAGTGCGATCCAGCCGAGGCCTCAGTGAAGGGCAGCCTGGAGGCTTCCGTGGCCTCGGGCGCCGGGAGATGCAGGCTGTTCTGCTATTTGCATGAACAGCCACCGAGTGTGAGATGTGCGGACCTAACATCTGTGGACACCGACTGGTAGTGCATGGCTCATTCCAGGTTCTCAAGGAAGTGTTTGTGCTTTCATTGAGTCTCTGCTGTGAGTTACTCACTGTGTAATAATGAAAATAGGTAACCCATTCATCTTACTTATAGACTAAGTCCTCCCTTGGCATCATCAACAGTGTCTGTGACTTAAAGCAAAGCGACAACAAAACCAGGGTACAGCAGCCTCGTGGATCAAAACCAGCGTTAGGTGCCTACAGCATCTCGTCCGTGGTGTGACGAGAGGACGGTGAACAGAACGACGTTCGTGGAAGACCTGCTGTCCCGGCGAACCGCTCCGCCTCCCCCGGGCCACCTCATTCCCGGATTCCATGGCGGACTTCCCCCCCCTTGATCTCCAGGAGGCCCGGGCTTGGGTCTCTCTGGCAGCTCCGCCTACCTGCTTCCTCACCTCCGGGGCCCAGGTTCCCAGCCCGTCTTCTGCACACAAACTCCGCAGCCCCTGTTTTCAAGGAGCTTGGGATCTAGCGGAGGCCACGGCAGGGCATGTGCGTGACGATAACCCTGGGTGGAAGGCTGTGGAAACACAGCCTTGGGAGCCAGGTCAGGTGAGCAAGAAGGGCAGGTGGGGTGCACCTGGGGTGGGCCCAGGGAGGACAGTGGTGGTCGGAGCTCTCACAGGCTCAGAGCTGGAAGCCACGTGCCGACGTGGAGGAACCACAGACGATGCGGCGGGGTTGCAGGCTGGCCCGGGGGCGGCGGTGGTCGGAAGGCTGGACATCAGGGCGGGGGCTGGTCAGACCGGGCCTGGACGGCCAGCCCCAGCGGCCCGCGCTGAACCCCGGGGGTGCTGGGGAGTGATTGGCGGATCCGTGCTCGGACTCGGGGGATCCGTCGTGCGGGTCGGTCGGATCACTGCAGGAGCCGCGTGGAGGCTACACCAGGAGGTTCAGACTGGAGGCCTCCGGACCAGTCAGGAGGCTCTTCCGACTGGTCAGACAGGACGAGGAGGAGGGAACCTTTGAATGAGTTCCCCAAGAAAGATTCATATTTTGATGGGTACGGACTGCAAATTGCAAAGACATGAATAAGAGGCTACATGGTTAAAGGACAACAGGCTGAGCCAAGAGCCCAGAGTCCTGGGTTCAAGGCTTGCTCACGCCCAGAGTCTGTCTGTGACCTCCAGCAAGTCTCTCTGCCCCTGAGGCCAGGCTCTCCGTGCGGCAGGGCGCTGGGAACCCACTGTATTCCACGCTCATCTCTGCCACTTCCCTGCTGGGCGACCTTGAGTGCCTTACTCAGCCTCTCTGGGCCCCAGGTTCCTCATCGGTGAAATCCTTTCGCTCCTTAAAGAGGGCCCGCAGGCACGTCGCGTGCGGAGGAGCAGAAAGCTCAGTGCGGGTCCACAGGACGCACACAATGAGACTCGGAAGCTGGGGCTGCTGGCGGTGGCGCTGATATCCCCGTGTCTGTGTCTGTAAAATAAGGGCCCCGGACGTGTTCCTTTCTCAGGCCTATGGATCCACGAATGATTTACCGCCGTCTCCCGGCCGGTGACTCAGCGGTCAGGCTCCCGGACACACACTGGACTTCGGCCTGCAGTTGGGCAGAGCTGCTCAGGGCACTTGCAAAGGATGACAGCAAACTGCCAGGCAGGGGGAGGCAGATGACCGTGCGGCCTGCTCCCCGATGGTCCTGTTCCCCACTGCTCCACGCAGGGCCTGCCGGGACTCCGTCTGCGATTCCCCTCCGGAGCGCCGTGCAAACGCACCGAAACAGAGCACGTCCTCTCCATGGAGGGGCCGGAGCGCACGCCCCGCCGTGCCACCCAGCACCGGGCCCGAGGGATGGATCGGTGCAGACGGGCCACACCCCCGACCGCCCCGGCACAGCCAGGAGAGCAGCATGGACGTCCTTACGAAAGCTCCCGCCGCCAGACCAGGCTCTCTGAGGTGAGGACCACACAAGGGCAAAGTCCCCTAAGTCACCCGCGTAGCAGGGCGCAGGCCTCCTGTGCAGGGCGGCGAACGCAGCAGGCCGCTGTCCTCTGAGAGGCCAGCGTGCACGGCGGGCGGGCCCTGGGCTGGCTGCGGGGACTGCGAAAGTGACCGATGACCCTTGACGTATGGAGACGGGCTCGTCGATCGTAACAGAGGCACAGCCCCTGTGGGGGCTGGGGACAGAGGAGGCTGTGTGTGTGCACACATGTGCCTCAGGTCACGAAAGGTGCCCAGGGAATCCGTACCTTCTGTTCAGTTGGGCCGTCCACCAAAATCTGCCCTAGAAAGTAAAGTCTCCGCAGGCCTGAAAACCTTTGGAAACAATGCCAGAACTGGCCCTTGCTCACGTTCCCACAGCTGTTGCCCAAACCGTTATCTGTCCGCCCACGCCATTCTGTTCCAGGTTCGCGTTTCACGTGCCTGCTCCTCGGGCCGCGAGTGCAGGTCCCCCGCCCCCCGCCGGGGTTGCAGCCCAACTGACAAGATGAAGCAAGAGTGTCATTTCCCAACCTCGTTTAAGGACAAACGCGGACAAATCCGATCTCCGTCTCAGGGTGCTATCCCAATGTCAGCACCAAAGCCACGGATCGCTGTGAGCGCTAGGAGACACCGTTTCGACCCTCTGGTTTTCAAACGGTTTTTAGCACCAGAATCCATTTTTCAAATGAACTTGCACAGCGTTAACAGTAAAAAAAAAAAGACGTCCGTGGCCTGGTGCCTGCCTGCCTCCTAGCTTCTGCCCTGCACTCTCCAAATCTTGCCCCACGCCCCAGCCACATTGCACCTGCAGTTCTGCAGCGTTCCCGCACACGGGTCCTCTGTCAGGCCTCTGTGCCTTCGCCCCACCCTCCAGACACAGCCTCCATCCTCTGGCAAATCTTCCCTCGAGCCCCGGCCACCTTACCCCGAGGGCGGAGGCGGGTCCAGTAGAAGCCAGCACCCCTAGGAATAGGCAGTGCCTAAACCTAGCAGCCGAGACAGGTGAGAGCCAAACCGTCACCCGCATACCAGCAGGGCAGTGTCGGAGGGTGGGAGGTGGGAGGGCGGCGCTGGGGGAGTTGCCCTGAGTGACCCGATTCCACAGGAAACAAAAGTCAGTAGTGGATTGTAAGCAACACATTCTCAAGTGACCCCTCGCTCTGGTGAAAAGACTCGAAGACAGACAGAACGCATCAGTACAATGTTTCTGCCTCCAGCCCCTCGGTGGGTCCTCAGACTCCGCCGCGCTCCTTGCCCTGGAAGACAACCCTTGGGGTCGCCCCTGGCAACTCCAGAGGCGCCTCCTCTTCCTACACTGCCCCAGGACCCCCACCCTCCAGCCTCAAGGAACTGACACTTCCCCGCCCACATCCTCCCTGCTTCTGTACTTTCCACCTCCCCTTCAAAGGCAGGGACCGGTGTCCTCTCTGTCCCTCCCCTCCCCCAGCCGCCCCCAGGGTCTAGCAAGGGTCTGGCACAGAGCTCGCCCCACAAAGGTTTGCACAGTCCACGACCAGCCAGCACCCGGTGCCCCCCCGCCCAGCCCGTCCATGGCCGAGGGCACTCACCGCAGTCGGGGCATTCACCACGGAGAGGTTGTACCCGTAGAGGAAGGAGGAGCCGAAGGCGCCCGCGAGCGAGGCCACAATGAGCGAGCTGGTCCAGCCCTGGAGAGGAGAGGACGACGGCACGTCAGACCTGGCACGGCGCTCAGCTGTGGGAGCTGAGCGGGGCCCGCTTCCGGCCGCACGGGAAGGAGCACCAAGCGGAGCCAGGCGGAGCTGCGGGCAGCAGCCGCTGGCCCGCATTCAGAGCTATATAGGCCTGCGTTGTTCTAAGCCCTCGCTGGGTGTCCCATCGTGGGACCCACACATCAGTGCCGTTTTGTCCTGATTTCATAGGTGAGGAGACAGAGGACCAGAGCTGCCCCAGGTGGCCCGGCTCCAGCCCCCACACAGTCACCCACTGTGCCCACGGCCTCTCCCCTCCTGCCTCTGCAACTGGGTGGGGGTCTCGGGCCCCGAGGCTCCTGACAGCTTCACCGACGTGCCCACCACACCCAGGCACCCACTGCTCTGGGCTCAGGCGCCTGTCTTACAGGCCAGTCCGAACACCTTGGGACAGGGACCTGCAGACAGAGAGTTACGGGATGTGGCGTCCATGCAGTCCGGCCCTGTGGCTCCACCCAAGAATGGCCACGGCCACGGCAGAGCCAGAGAGCAGAGGCATCTGGGCCCTTTGGCAGAGGCTGGCCCGCCGGCAGAAGCCGGAGTAGGAAGGGCTGCCCTCCGGGGCTGGCCCGGGGAAGGTGGGCCGCTCACCAGGTGTGGGGGCCCGGGTGCTCTGGGCAGGCACATCCTCGGCCGTCACCGAGTGTGTGCGTGTCCTGAGGGCCAGGCCCTGACGAAGCTCTCGGGGTGCAGCAGGACGCACGGCCGATGGGGCCCACAGTTCAGGGAAGTGTGCCGTCAAATGCTCTTTGGAGGGGGCCACGGGACGCCCGCAGCCGACTCCCTGCTCTGCCCACCTTGGTAGCCTCCTCTAGGGTCGGCTCTACGCCAGACGGCGCCGCCGCCGGCTGTGGCGCTGCACCAGTTTCCCTGCCCTCCTGGGGCTCGGCTTCCCGGCGGCACCCTGGGGTCTCAACAACAGTGCGGGCTGCACGGCCGGTGGAGGGTCTGCGTGTTGTGCGTGAGGATGATCAGGGTGTTGCGTCCGTGTAGAGAGTGTGCAGAAAGGATGTTGACTCTGTCTCTCTCCCCACGCCCTTCAGCCCAGTCCCCAGAATGGCTGCGGCCCGGGGGACATGCCGGTCTCTCTTGGCCGGGCCTGGCCTGGCTGGCGTCCCTCTGCGGTCCTCCCTTCCAGAGACCACCCATTGCCTACGTCTCCCCCGCGCCCCCAAAAGCTCCACCTCCTTGTTTTACATCTGTCTCTCTGATTCTACTCCGTCTGACCCCCAGCTCTGCCACTTAGGACTGTGTGGTCTTAGACCGGTCCCAGAGCTGTGTGGTGACTCGGGGCCTCATCCGTAAGATGGGCATGATACAAAACCCACCCCCTACGGCAGTCAGTATGCTGGAGAAAGGAGCTGAAGCAGGGAAGGTGTTCGCCCGCCCTCTGTCGGGTGCCCAGGAGAGCCAGCAGCCTCCCCAGAGGCTGGCCAGTGGGGAGGGTCTTACATTTCACGGGTGGAGGCCTTGCCTCTGCTCTCTGCTTCCAGGCTCCGAGCCCGAGGCAGGGGAGGCACTGATGATAGAATGGAGGGCGAGACGGGGTGGGGGGGGGCGGTTATGGGTCGTGGGGATGAGTACGGTCAGCCTCTGTACCCACAGGTTCCGCCGAGTGGGTTCAGCCAATCACAGATTGAAAAGTTACATTGTTACAGACACGCAGTCCGTACTCGTGATGGCTGTGTCTGTGCGGAACGTGTACAGACTCTTTACCTTGTCATGGTGAGCCCCTAATCCACCCGGTATAACGACTGTCGGTACCGTGTTAGGTGTTGTAGGTAAGCCAGAGAGGGTGTGAAGTGTACAGGAGGGTGTGGGAAGGTGCTGTGCAAACACTGCAGCGTTTCACACAGAGGACTTGCGCGCCCGTGGATTCTGGTGTCCTGGGGAGTCCTGGGACCGGTCGCCTTGTGGATATCTGGGGACAACTGTGCTTTCCCGCACGAGGGGAGTTTGAACTCAATGGGATTCGCTGAGGAACAGAATCCCACTGGGGACAGAACACCATTCTCCGCCCCCCGTTGTCTTCGGACTTGTCCCCCGGGTCTCAGCTCAGCTGTCCCTGCCCTGCCGCCCCAGCCGGGCTGGGCGGGTGCCTTCTCCCCTGGGGCCTCCCTTGCTCCCAGCACCGTCACTCCTGTTCTGCGCGGCCCGCCCGAGCCCACCCCCCTCCCCGGCAGCCCCAGGAACAGAGGGTGCCCGCGGCCGAGAGGGGGGAGGAAGTAGGAACACCCCCCGGCGTGGTCTCGTCACACGAATGAGCACGGCCACACTGACAGGAAGTGCTGTCAGCCCCAGGAAACCGCGGCTGGAGAGCTGGCCAGTGTCACGGGGACCGGGATGCAAGCTCTGCGACCTGCGGGGCAGGGCGGTCACAGGGACCCACTGCCACCCACACGGGGACTCCGAGCCCTCCCGGTGGGCAGAGGCCCTGTCTCTGTTTACCTGGTTTCTCCTCCCACCTGGCTTCCCGCTCCTGGGCCAGGCTCCCTTGGGGGGGCCCCGGTGGCTAGGGCCCTGCGTGAGGGGAGCCGAGCTGAGCTCCTGGGAGTCCATGCTCCGTCCCCCGCGGCGCCCAGGGGCTCTCCCAGGGCATCTCGGGCAGCCGGGTGAGGAGGCAGAGTCCGTGGGAGGGGGGTGGGGCGCCACACCGGAAGTGTGGCAACTGTCTCTTATCTGAACAGGAAATGGACAACGTTTCTTTTTCTTTTTTTCCCTCCTGTTCCTAAGTCCTAACAGCAGCTGGAGCAACCAGGGAAAACTGGCTTCCCAGGACTCACCCCTGGGTGTAGATCCTGCCTTTGGAAACTTTTTATTTTCCTTCTCAACAAGGCCAGAGCAGGGAGGGGAGAGACTAGCGTAAACCCAGGGTGCATCTCCCTAAGGGCTGGAACAGATGAAAAGGTCACTGACTTAGCAAAGAAGCCTGATGGAATTCCAACCCTGACTCCACCCCTTTTTTTCTCTTCTGATGCTCTTCATTAGCATACATGAAATACACTGCCAATCACCCGTGTTTTTACTGTGTCCTTAGGCAAATTGCTTTGCTTCTCTGAGCTACCATGTGAGCAAATGCAAAAGGGGAACTGAGCCCCCCTGATTGTCCAGCACAGTTATTCTTTTTTTTAAAAAAATATTTCTTTATTTTTACTCTGGCTGGCGTAGCTCAGTGGATTGAGTGCGGGCTGCTAACCCAAGTGTCGCAGGTTTGATTCCCAGTCAGGGCACATGCCTGGGTTGCAGGCCATGGCCCCCAGCAACCGCACATTGATGTTTCTCTCTCTCTCTCTTTCTCCCTCCCTTCCCTCTCTAAAAATAAATACATAAAATCTTTTAAAAAATTATGTATTTATTTTTAGAGAGAGGGGAAGCAGGGGAGAGAAACATCAATGTGAGAAACATCAATTGGCTCCCATGCAGGGACTGAACCTGCAACCCAGGCATGTGCCCTGACCGGGAATTGAACCAGTGACCTTTCACTTTGCGGGACGGCACCCAACCAACTGAGCCACACCAATCACGGTTCCTGCACAGTTAGTTAGTCTGAGGTTCGATTAGAAACCACGACGCAGGTGCTGGAGACGGACGCGGGCTGCCCTGCAGTTCTGGAACACATGGGGAGGCTGTGGGTTTGGAAGGAAAGGAATCTGCCATTGGGTCATCGCCCCGTCCCGCCCCTTCCGCAGTGGCTGAGAAAAGGCTCCCCACGTGCCCGCCCCGACTGGCCCCAGGGAAGCATTGAGGCAGTCAGACCCCTTGTGCATGGGAGGATGGGGTGAGAATTAACTCGCCTCGTGGCCCGTTTGCCCCAGTGTCAGAGAAACACCTCGTGTCCAGGACCGGTGGCCTTGGTCGTCTGCTCCCAGAGGCAGAGAGGAGACCGGCAGGTGTGTGTGGGGGACGCAGAAGCACTAGGAGGCCCGTGTGGCCTTGCACCCACAAAAAAAGACAAGAAACCCACAAACTGGGTTTTGCAGAAAGCACACATTGGAATGAGACCCCGAGCACTGCAGACACGCCGGGCGGGTGTGGTGTCACACGTGAGTGAGCACATCCGGCCCCACGATGCACAACGGTGGGGAAAGAACTGCTGCTCAGGGGGACCCGGACTTCCAGAACCAGGGCGAGCCCCCATCAGCAGGCGAGTGACTGGGTGAGCGCACGGAACACTCAGTGCGGCGACCATTCTGCACGTCAGTCCTGCGGGGACACTCGGGGAGCCGGCTCTTTATGGAACTGATGTTTAGCCAGCTGCCCATTGCACCCCATTGCCGGGTGCCGCTGTGGCCCAGAGCGGGACCCTCGCGGTTACAACATGGCATTCGATGGCTGAGGAGAGGAGTCCCCGGGAGACAGAGGAGGTGCTGAGCCAACCTGGGCCTGGGTCACAGAAGACTTCCCAGAGGAGGTGGCTCCTGTGACTCAGCCTGGGGAGCATGCAGGCCAAGAAGGGCATGGGGTGGAAGGGCACTGAGCTGAGGCCCGGGGTACGAGGGCAGTGAAGTCATGGGGTGCGGGTGGGGCCCCAGGGGTGAGGTGTAGCATGCATCACCCCAGGTGCCTGCACAGCGGGGCCTCAACTCAGCCCTGTGTGAGCACCGGGAGAGGCATACGGTGCCCACTTGGAGGGAGTGTCTACTGAACAGGACTCCGCCGTGTCTCAGGAGGACCTGCAGCAGGTGGCCTGGCCTCCCCGGACCTCCCTTTCGCACCTCCGAGGCGGGGACAACGGGGCCCAGCCTGCTGAGGTCCCACTTCCCGGGCAGTCTGGCACGTAGGCTCGTGCTGATCTTTGTCCTGCTAACTCAAGGTTCATTACCAACATGGACACATTCTCCTCTGAGTCCTGGTTGCTTCCACACACATCGCAGGAGACCAGGCACAAACGGGCCGAGGTGTGAGACCGGCTCCACCTTGAACTTGCCACATAGCCTTGGGCAAGCGGCTCCAGCCCTCTCTGAGCCTTGGTCTCCCTCCCGTAAGCCGGCATCGTGATGCCTCCCCGGGGTGTGGCCGAGAGAGCCGAATGCGGACCCTGTGCAAAGGTCCGGGACAGAGGGGGTGCCAGCCGGCTGCTGGTGTTTGCGTCTGGTTTGAAGAGAGTTGGGCCCAAGGAGTCTCAAGGAGTCTCAAGGAGGGAGAGAGGCTTTCTAAGTGCCCAGGACTTCCTGGGGGAGAAGGCAGGTGAACGGGGCCTTACAGTGGGGTGGGGGATGGGTTTCAGTGTCTCCTCAAGGATGACGCCGTCCTCACTTTCAGCACCCACGTGCCCTTTAGAGAAAGGACCTCCGGAAGGGAGACACCTGCTCCCCTCCAAACCTGGGAGGTCCCCGGCAGACTGCTCTTATGAGCGGGGGCACCAGCCACCAGCGACCCGGGCCTCGTGGCACACACTTTACAGCTCCTTCCCACAGAGCCCCGCTTCCAGCCTCTGCTCTCCTGGCCTGACCTCGCCTTATCCTGCGCTCCCCCGGGGAGGAGGGCGGGGGCAAGGAGGGACAGCCCCCCCCGCCCCCCCACCCTGCGTCACCAGAAAACTCCCACGGAAGAGGTGAGGAGGCCAGGACTGACCGATTTCTTTTTCTCCAAGTCACCGTCTTTGTCATCCGCCAGGTTCCTTTCGCTCAGCTTCATGGCTTCCTGCCCAGGCTTGGGACTGGGCTTTCTCGTTCCTGAGGAAGAGGAGAGAGGAAGATGCCGTTAGATGGTGTCGGAGACAGGGGGCGCAGGGGACGCGGCCCTGAACCAGCGAGGGGTCCTGGCGACCACCCCACGATGGGGGACCCCGGCTCGGCTGCAGACCTGGGCTTCAGGCCTGCGTTGTGTGGTGGCTGGGCAGACTCCGTGTCTCCCACACTGGCCGCATGCTCTTTAGTCCAGGCCCCTCCAGAGCAGTCTCCTACAGGCGGTTGTCCTCACAGCAGGGTGCACCTTGTAAGTAAGCACTAGACCTTCTGTCCCCAAGGTGGGAACATACAAGCTGTGACCATGAAGAGACAAAGTGCCAGCCCCCCTGTCAGAGCGGAAGCGGTGCCCGGAAGGGTCCCCCGAGTCCCCGGCACAACGGAAGTGAAGGACCGTGTGGTTCCCCCGGAGCGTGGAAACATGTTTCCAGAGCCGTAAAACTGCGTAGGCCCTTTGGCCAACTCCTCCATTTATAGACATTTATCCTAAAACAGTAAAAAAATGTGCGCCAAGAAGACTGCAGCCAGAAATGACCATTGCAGCGTTTTTTTTCATGTTAGAAGAAATGGCATTCACGACAGGAAAAAATATCTAAGAGGAAAGGTTAAATAAATCGTGGCACCTCCCTTGGGTGAAAATGCTTGCAGCACTCAGAACCTTCCGTCCAAGAGCATTTCAGGTCGTGGGGGAACTCGTATAACCCTTCTCACTGGACAAGAACAGGGCCAGCTCCTTGGAGTATGTGTCTCTCTCTTTCTGCCTCCTCCTCTCTCTCTTCCTCTCTCTCTGCCTCTGCCTCCAAGCCTGTGTATCTCCATCTCCATGTCGCTCTCTCTCCATACGTATCACCGCATCTCACGTACAGACACAGGTCCCTCTGGCTCTGTCCTTCTGGAGACGCCTGACGGACACAGCCCTCACCCCGGGGCCGCAGCCGACTCATCCCTGTGTGCACAGAGTCTGGGATGGGCCTGGCCCCGGAGGAGCCCAAGAAACAGGGTGGGTGGGCTGGGGTGGGAGGGAGGGAGGGAGGGGCAGAGGGCACCAGACTGGGCTCAGATGGGACGGGATGGGACAGAGGAAGCCAGCGTGAGGGTGTCTGCGGCCACCCCCTGCCCCATCCAGGGGCTGCCTTCCCATTTGACCTTCTCTGAGTGGCTGCCACTGCATAACTCCAGGGAGGACCATTCACCCAGATGACACTGTAAACAGCCCCCTGGAGTTACACCTGCCGGTGGCCCTGCAGGGATCTGAGCTCCGGTTCCTTGTCATCCAGTGGAAGATAGTCATCATCCCCCCCGTGTTAGGCGAGGGTAACTGAGCTAGCAGGCCCTGTGGGAGGACCCTCGGGGTCCGATTACTGGTACCTGTCACTCAGGTGCTAGGTAGAGACACCCAGAAAGTAACGGGTGTGGCGATGGCAGAAAAGGAAGGGTTCTGTCTAAAAAGTGAGCTCGACGTGTTTGTGTGGCGTCTACGTGCAAATGTCACGGGGGCAGCCGGAAGCGAGAGCGGTGCTGGGGCTGGGCCTGGGCCAGAGCGGGGTGGGGGCCGGGTCAGGCCCCCTGGGAGAGTGTGGGGAGAGAGGGGTCCTACAGGACTCCCACCCGGGAAGAGCAGGTGCGGGGGGCGGGGGAATTGGCAGAGGAGACTGAGTCGGAGAAAACAGGGAGCTCGAGGTGTTAGAAACGGCAAGACAAAAATACCCGCAATGTATAAAGAACTCCTAGAACTGACCCTCTGATGAGGGGTGTGCCCTTGGCCAGGACGGGGCCAGGCTGGTGCTTTCTGCCCAGAAAACATGTTCCCACAAGGGAACGGGCCGGGCACCAGGAGGACGTGTGGGTGGTGGGTGGTGCTTCCTCTGGGGTCACGGTCACCTCGGAGCTCCTGTTCCCAGGCCAACAAGGAGAGGGCGCGGGTGGCTGAGTCAACAAGGACCCACTGCCCAGGGGAGCTGCGTGCGGCCAAGGTCTGAGCCTGTGCACCTCACCCTGCAGAGACCAGCTCAGAGCTGCGGACGGCCTCGTCATCCCTGAGAGGTCGGGTCACACGTGGGAAGCTGCCTGCCCATGTGGCGCAAAGCCGGGGGCAGAGAGCTGGCACCCCAGGCAGCATGGAGCCAGGGGTTCAAGTCCCAGCTCCACTGCTCACTCGCTGTGTGACTTGGGGAAAGTTCCTTCACCTCTCTGGACCTCCGCTTCTTTAGGTCAAGTGGGGAATACGACCAGGGTCTGCCTCATAGGGCTATTAAATGTGAGGATTAAATATATTAACGCTAAGCGATCACACACTATTGTCATCATCAGCAGACTCCCAGCCGGGGGCCTCTGCGAAGCACAGATTGGGCGCTTCTTGTTTGCAAGGGCCGCATGCAGCGGACGCTGTCTTAGGGCCGGTTAAGAAGAAAGCGGGGGAAACCATTTTGTGATTGACTAGAGAACCCCACACTGCCTCAGAATTATTCTCTAAGGTTCGAATAGAATAATAAATAACACAACGTAACGTAACATCACATAACATAACATATAACATAACCTTAAATACAGGCTCCATAAACAAGGCTCTAAAAATGCTGGCTTCCCGTCTTTTTGGTCCACAGCAACACTACGAACACTGCTGCTCTTCAAACCTAACACCGTGCGCACGCTGCCGGTGTGGCCAGGCCAGGCCTAACAGGCAAAAACGCTGCGGTGCTCACTGGGGACTGCCCACGTCCCGAGCCCCTGGGTGCCCACCTACTCAATCTGGGCTTCTGCTCCCGACACTTTGATTGGCCGCCGCCTAGGCCGTCGCTGGGGTTAAATACTAAGGGAACAACCTCTGCTTCTTCTCTTGCCGCTTCTCCCGATCATACACCCCTCACGGGCACCCTGTGTCCGACACCACAGCCGCCGGGTTAGAATGGAGCAAGTCCCAAGTGGCTTTACCCGCCCAACTGGCCCCAGAGCTCGGGCCCGACGACTTGAAGCCAGACCCTGGCTCACGAGCCCGTGCCGGGTGGAAGGACGAAGGCGAAGCATGGGCTCTGCTCACACCAGCGCGGCACGGCACAGAGGGCGGCGGGCAGCAAGGGAAGGGCCTCATTCTGCCAACGCCCGTGCGCCAGGGGAGGCCGCCTCCCCGCCGGCCTGGAGCTCTGCCCCGGGCGAAGCCCCGTGGTTCCACAGCCACCGGCTGCCAGCTCGGAGCGGGAAACGCCACCAACTCCCTGGTCCCCGAGTTCCCTGCCTGAGGAGTGCTTGAATGTGACGTTATTCTTAATAATTTTTAGGATGAAGTCTCTGCTGACTTTGACCTGGAGCTACAGATAAGCCTAAATCAAGATATTGGAAAGGAATGTGAAGAACAGAGCAGGAGAGACAGAGAGAGAGAGGCGGAGAGAGAGAAGGAGGGAAGGAAGGAGGGAAGGAAGGAAGGAAGGAGGAAGGGAAGGAAGGGAGAGAGAGGGAGAGCAAGAGAGAGAAAGAGAGAGAGAGAGGGAGAAGGAAGGAAGAGAGAGAAAGAAAAGAAGAAAGAAAGAAAGAAAGAAAGAAGGGAGGGAGGGAGGGAGGGAGGGAGGGAGGGAGGGAAAGAAAGGAAGGAAGGAAGGAAGGAAGGAAGGAAGGAAGGAGGGGGGAGAAAGAAAGAAAGAAAGAAAGAAAGAAAGAAAGAAAGAAAGAAAGAAAGAAAGAAAGAAAAAGAAAGGAGGGAGGGAGAAAGAGAGAAAGAAAGAAAGAAAACGAGACGGAAAGGAGGGAGACAGAGAGGAACAAGGTTACCCGGCCTGGCCGCCAGCCTGTGGGAGAACAGCTGTCATCGCTCACGATCAATGTCGTCCTCAAGCTAACGTCTGTGAGACACCACACGACGCACTTTCTGTGCGTTTTCCCACTCCCTCTTCACCAGGTTGATTTTAAATTCCCTCAGTTCTCAAATCCCTGGTTCCTGCTGTTCTGGAGGAGTTGCCAGCAGTTTTCGACACCATCCCCGCAGGCGACCCGAGTCTGTGAGCGTGGCTTACCTGTTTCTGGGAGCTTCCTTCGCCTGTCCCCAACAAAGGAAGAGACAAAACGTGCTTTGCAGGGAGATCAGCTTCCAACAAAATCAGATATAAACCTGGGAAATTATAAAACACCCTTAGTGCTTACGTGGCCTCCGGGACAGCTGTTCCTATAAACATTCTACGATGCCTATCTTGACAAGCAATAAATGATTAACAAACATGCCCAGGTTCGGGTCAGCAAATTCTGGACCAGGAGTCGAAGGCAGAGGCATCCCAGCAAAGCCCCTGCTGACCGAGAAGTTGACCTTCCTGGGTATCGGACCCCTTCTCGCTAACGTGAGGTTGTGCCCGCCTGGGGCCAACCTGCCCGGGCCGTGGTGAGGGTCCGGCGAAACGACATGCAAGCTCATGAAGCAGGACACAGATGCACGCAGGCTGATTGAGCCCTCGGCCCACAGGACCGGGATGAGGGGCTGATTCTTGCTACTCCGTCGATGCGGGAGTAAAATCAGCCCGTGGAGAAGCACACCAAGTTGTGTTTCATCACTCCGGTCGAAAGTGGTGCACATGGGCTTATCCTACTGTCCCTTCAGGACCCCGGGAGAAACAGGGGGCTGGAGTGGCAGAGATGTAAGGGACCCGAGTGTGCCTGTGCGGCCGGGGCAAGTCCAAGTTCAGCCAAGGGCACCAGGAGAGAGGGGAAGGCGTGGGCAGTGAAGGAAGGCTCTGGGGCGGAGCTGAGGAAGGCGGGTGGCAGGGAGTCCCCCGCTCTGGGAGGAGGATGCTGCGCCTGGCTCCTGCACATCCTCAGGCCCTGGAAGACGGGCCGTGTTCGGGAACACGGGCAAGTCCATCGGGCGCCCTGAGCGTCGACTGAGAGCAACCTTCCCAGCGCTAACCCCATTTCCCCTGAACCTCGGTGTCGGACCAGCGGGTGCCAGGTACGGGTCTCCCCGAGATGTCTTTATCAACCGCCCTCTGACGTTGGACAAGTGGCACAGTAGAAGGATGACATTTCTGTGCCGGGGGGAGTTTGGTTGTGTTTGGGAAATGCAAACACCAAGTTGGAGGTCACCTCTGAGCAGTGGCGTTGCTGTCCAGGCTTTTCACAATGCCTGCAATCGCCCAGCTGGTGCCCCGCCCCCTGTCCCCAGCTCTCCAAGTCTTATCAGAGAGTTGTGGACGGCCTGGCCTCTTGGACTGCATCTTAAACCCACCTCATCTCCTAGCTTCTGCATATCTGCCTAGCCCTGAACGTAGACACCATAAGCATTAGAAAGAGAAATTCTGCTTGCTGCTTAAGTTTTACAAACACAAAACGAAACAAAACAAAATAAAACAAAACAAAAAACCCCAGCTCCTTACTCCAACCTGCCTCCCCTGAGGAGAAGAGGAGGCACGCACCCAAACACCTAGTGTTTGTGGAAGATGGGTAGGGACACCATGACCAAAACCGCAGCCACTGGAGTCCGCTGGCTGAGAACAAAGGTCGCCTCCTCGACCTTCGCTGGCTCCTGGAGGTCTCTCGTTGCCAGTCACTTCCTGACCTCGGCCCCCCCCTTTGCCCCCCTTCCCTCGCATTGAGAACACCTGAATTCTGTACTTTCTTTTTGGAATTTTTAGAAATAGGTTTATTGATTTAGAGAGAGAGTAAGGAAGTGGGGGGAGAGAGAGAAAGGAACACTGGTGTGAGAGAGAAACATCAATTGGCTGCCTCCCATACGAGCCCCAACCAGGGATTGAACCCACAACCTTTTGGTGTGCAGGATGATGGGATGATGCTCCAACCAGCTGAGCCCCCTGGCCAGGGTACTTCTTTCTCTCTTTCTTTCTTTCTTTCTTTCTTTCTTTCTTTCTTTCTTTCTTTCTTTCTTTCTTTCTTTCTTTCTTTCTTTCTCTCTCTCTCTCTCTCTCTCTCTTTCTCTCTCTCTCTCTCTCTCTCTCTCTCCTTTCCTCTCTCTTTCTTTCTTTTCTTTCCTTTCCTTTCTCTGTCTTTCCTCTCTTCCTTTCTTCCCGGGGAAGGGAGGGAGAAAAAAAGGGGACGGAGAAAGAGCGGGAGAGAAGCACTGCTGTGTGAGAGGACCATCAACCAGCTGCCTCTCCGGGACCATGCCCACAACCCAGGCGCATGCCCTGACTGAGCATCGAACCAGTGACCTTCCTCTCTGCAGGATGGTGCTCCACCCACTGAGCCACCCTGGCCAAGGCTGTGCTTTCCTAAGGCGGCTCTGTAGGAGGCTAATCCACTGTCTTCTCGGCTTGCTGGCATTCCGAATAAAGAGCTTTCCTTGTCCCAACACCTTGTCCCCTGGCGTACTGGCCATTGTGCGGTGCATAGTACACACTTGAACTTAGTTACATTTCTAGGTGCAATGAATCACTCTGTGATACCAGGTTTATCCAACCATTGGCTTAGCAGCATGTGGACAGACAGCACAAGATGATGGTGCAGAGTCTGGGATTCGACGTCAGACCTCCCTCCCCAGCCACGTCACGCCAGACGGGTCCACTCTGCAGGGCGAGGTAAGGGCGTAAGCGTCCCAGGCCAGGTTGCGCAGGTCAAACGAGACGCTGCCCTTGAAATTGCCTGCCGCGTAGCAAACAATAGTAAGTATTCACCATTACTGTTATTACTAGGAAATCTCTTTTTGGATCATTATTTTTATTCCTGTATCTTCATTCTTTTTCAAGTATTTTTGGAGCACCTAGCAGGTGGCCAGCACCGTGCTAGATACTGAGAAGGGTAAACTTGTTGCTTCAGTCGGGCAATTCCGAAGCTAGTGAGAAGGATGAGCCACTCTAAGGGAACTGTGTTCAATGAGCACCTACTATGTGCTGGGCACTGACTTACTCCCATAAGTCAGCTGTTGGAGCTTTGTTCTCTCCATTCTATGGCTGAGCAGACCGGGGTTCTAGGAGTCACCCCACTTGCCCAGAGCACCACAGCTTGTGAATGAGAATTCGGGTTTAAAGGGAGACCCCCACAAGGCCTGTCCCAACCCCCCATCCACTGCTGCTCTGTGGGAGTGCCCGTCACCGGGGGACACGCCGGGCAGACTGAGCCTCAGGGCCTCGGCGCCAAAGGCACCTTCCCTTCCGGCTTGGGCTGCCCAGCACCCCGACTTCCCGCTGTGGAGGGCCTCCCCACTGTGGGCCTGGTGGTCTCATCCCTCCCGCCTTCCCAAGGGTCTCTCCTGGCCACTGGCCCATGGCTCTTCAGCACCGTCAGTTTCTCCCTCTTCTCTCCGGGCTACATACACAGATGTCTGAATAGCACCAATTAAAAAAAAAAAACAAAAAACACTACTAAAGCAAGGATGTGGAGAAACTAGAGCCCTCGTACGCTGTTAGCGGGCATGCAAACCGGTTTAGCCGCTATGGAAAAGAGTTCGGTGGTCTCTCCAGAATTGCCATGTGACCCAGCAGTTCCAATCCGAGGGGGGTACCCAGGAGACCTGAAATCAAAAACTTGTGCTCGAACCCTGGCTGGCGTAGCTCAGTGGACTGAGCGCGGGCTGCGAACCAGAGTGTCGCAGGTTCAATTCCCAGTCAGGGTACATGCCTGGGTTGCAGGCCATGGCCCCCAGCAACCGCACATTGATGTTTCTCTCTCTCTCTCTCTCCCTCCCTTCCCTCTCTAAAAATAAATAAATAAAATCTTAAAAAAAACAAACAACAACTTGTGCTCAAAAGCTCATGGAGGTGCTCTTCGCAAGAGCCAAACGGTGGGAACGCTCCAGGTGCCCCTGAGCGAGGGAAAGGTTAAACGCCTGTGGCTTGTCCACGCAACGGAACATTATTCAGCCACACGAAGAAATGACGTTCTGACGCATGTTACAACATGGGGGGACCTTGACGGCATCGTGCTAAGTGAAAAAAAGCCAGACACCAAACAAAGGTCAAGCGCTTTATATAATTCCATTTAAATGAAATGTTCCGAGTAGGCCAAACTACAGAGGCAGGAAGCAGGCGAGTGGCTGCCAGGGGCTGGCGGGAGGGTGCATGTGGGAGCAGCTACTTAACAGGTGAGGGGGTTGCTTTGGGGGGGATGACAGCGTTCCGGAACTAGACAGAGGCGGCGGCTGCGCAGCCCTGGGAATGTGCTGCAGGCCACTGAGTGGTTCCCCGTAAAACGGCTGATCTGCTGGTTGGTGAATTTTACCTTAATTTAATAACAACAGCACTCAGGGTGACCCCGTGGCCTCCTGTGAGCACCCTTCCCCATGCTCTCGGCTGCAGGACACCCTCCCCGAGGGAACCGGCTGTCGGCACGCCCCACCTCCCACTCTCCCCTCGGCTCCTGCCCAGGGGTCGGCCCCCCACACCGCTCAGGCCGCTCTCTCTAGGGCGTCAGTGATCCAAAGCCGGGCGTCAGTGCCCGCTGACCTCCCGGCAGCTTCAGTGAGGTGACCACTCCCCTTCCTTCTGGGTCCTTCTAGAAATACCCTTTGCAGCCAGCAGACTGGCCTGCTTTCCCCTCCGCCTCCCTGACCACTCCTTAGCCCACCGTGCCGCTCCCTGGAACCTCCAAGGTGGCGCGTCCGGGACTCGGCCCACCGCCCTCCTCTCTGGGCTACCACTCTCCTCCCACGAGGGACCTCGCCCAGACTCGTGGCCTTGACACCGACGCCGCGCTGCGGACTCCCAGATCTGTCACCCCTGCTCAGACCCTCCCCTGAGACCCAGGCCCCTGCACTGCCCATCCAGTCCTCGCCCTCGCCTGGCTGAGAAGCGTCGCAAACACAGCGGGTCCCACCCAAATGGAACTTCCGACATTGCGTACCAGCTTCCCCCCACCACCCGGTCTCTCAGCCCAGACATCCAAGACCCCTCCCTTCCTCTGGACCCCCTCCTAGTGCCTGGCCATGCCACCGAAACCCCCCTTGAGTCTGCTCTCCATTGCATCTGGGCCAACGACGACATCACCTGTCCCCTGGAGACTGCCCGCCACCGCCTCCTGACAGACAGCAGTCCCCGCTCATCGCCCCTGGCCCTGGTGGTTCCATCCAGTGGCAGCTAGAGTGAGTTCCTAGGGCAAAGCCACATGACCCACCCTGCTTATTGCCCCCAGGGGCTTTCCTGGAGTCGGGCCCCAGCCTGCCGTTCCCTCCTC